GGTAACCAGAGATTCTCAGAACTGCCGTCACTAAGCAGATTGGCTACATGATGTTGTGCTTTAAAACCACATTGCTTAGTGATGGAAATTCAGGTCCTAATTACCCATCACTAATTGAAGACTATAGGTTATGATGTCAATCTCTCAATAAATTTTCCCCCTTGCTGCATGCTTTAAATACTGAACTTACCCTTCTCCTTTGCTACCCGATTCATCACAATGGAGTCTGTAACATCTAACAAAATAGCAAAGTCAAGACCAGGTGGATGCACAGGGGGCTCTTTTGGAGCTGCAGGGTCTATAACCAGTGTGGGCTTTTTCAAGTTTATTGTATTAGTTTCTGTCTGGTCTGGATCTCGTCCGGTCAATGCTTTTTCAAGCAGTTTAGCCTGATTCAGTGTCATTGGGAATCCATCCATGATCCAACCCTTTTCTGGCTGTAGCCGACTAAATCAAAAAAGGGAGGCAGGGAGGGAGGGAGCAATCAATAGATCAAGACCAAAAATGAAATATATTTGGAAGAAATTATTAAACTCTAACTAAAACAACATCCTTTGAAATTTGCCCCTTCTTCCAATGCTACATTTAAAATTTATATTTTGGAATTCTGATACATCAAAAGCATAGATCCTGAGAGTAAACCCACTTTGGTCAATCTTTCCACAGTTGGTGCTCTTCAAATGAGTTAAAATTAAGAGCTTTTCTCCACTTTTATCAACCTGTGACAAAAACATGCCCCCCAAAACATTTTTCTTTTGTGTCTTCAAAATACTCCCACATGACACCTGAGGCAGTGTTGTCTTTGCTTACACTGGCATTACATTAAAATTTTCTTCCTTTTCCTGAGAAGCTTTGTTATGTCACAGCCTGGTGCTCTTCACTTTAATCAGTGATATAATGAAGTCACCAGTAGAAGGCAGGTGGGCCTGTCTTCTCCCCTCCAGTACCTGGGCATTGGCTTCAAGGGACTTTATTATTTCCCAAATCTAATTCTTTCAAAATGGGCTTTCGACAGTACTGGAATGGGGTGAACAACAGCTAATTGGTGTTGTCAGGATGCATGTGCTACACAATGAAACTGGGAGAGAAAGGGTGGAAAGTGAATGTCCAATTGAATGAAATACCTGCATGCCACAAATACGACTAAACTTGGTGGAATGCAAAAAGCAAGAAGGCAGATGAGTATCTCTGGGGCAAATATATCAATACTGAAGTACTGTACATTGAATCCTATTGTGATTCGCCTCCTGGTGGAAGTATATATTGAGTTGCTTACAGGAACTGATAATGTGAAAATAACACTGCATTCTACAAGTAACAAGACTATTGCAATGTACTAAATTTTTTGGAACTTGTAGAGACTGACATATCTCTGCCTCAATAAATAAAGAAGAACAGGCCAAGTATTTAGGAAAACTATATTTGACTGAAAAGCTACATTTGACTTTGAGAGTCAAAACCCAGGCAAATCAAGATTAGAAACACTTCATAAAATAATCCTTTCAGCCTACATAATCACAATAATTTAACTTGTCTAAATAATTATTGTCTAATAATTTCATCAAAATCATTTAACTTGTGTAAACATTAAAGGAGAGCCGGTTTGATGTAGTAGTCGTAAGGCATCAGCCTAGAAACCAGGAAATTGTGAATTCTAGTCCTGCCATAGTCTGAAGTCAGCTGGGTGACTTAGGACTAGTCTCTCTCTAATTGGATTAGAAGACCTTGGAGGTCCCTTCCAGCCCAATGATTCTGTGTTCTCTCTCTCAGCTTTAGGAGGCAGCCACAGGCAAGTTACCTCTGAAAATATTGCCAAGAAAACTGCAGGGACTCCTCCAGGAAGTAGCCAAAAGTTAAGACTGATTCAAAGGGACAAAAACTAAAACTGAATTAATGATTGTGAGGACTACAATATATTAGACCCCACTTACAAACTTGCTCAAGGTAAATAAAACAAATCTAAAATGAAAATGTAGGAAACATAACATTACAGGTAATCTTCGCTTAATGATTCGTTACTTAGTACCCATTTGAAGTTTCAATGGGCCTCCCCAGAGCTGTTTATCACCTGGTTCCAGAACCTATACACAGGCACACCAGTCACGGGACGGTAGTTTGGATGCTTGGCAACCATTTCACTTTTATGGCTGTTTGCAGCATCCTAGAGTCATGTTATTTTTGACAGGTTGTCAGTTTCTGCTGTTTATTTTTATTTCCCAGCAAAAACGCCCATTGAAGAAAATGGGTTTGCTTTAAGGACTGCAGCATTCACTTAGCGACCGCCACAAAAAAATCATAAAATTGGGCACAGTTGCATGGTAACCCGCTTAGCAACCTCCATAACTTATGACTGTAATTCCAAACTCAATTACGTTCTAAGTTGAGGACTACCTGTGCACCATTTGTTATTTGCACCAAGCACTGTTTTGTTTGTTTCATCTTGCAGAAATGTGGATATATTTTCCTTATATGCCATTTCAGAACCACAAAACTCTGAAAGCTAGACCGTGAATATAAACTTAATGTTATGATTAATATTTCCTGTCTGGGTAAACAAGCTCTTATTCCGTTTAACAGGAGACTATTTCAAGACTAATTTAGGCATCTTTACATTGACAAAATCTGACTCTACCATTACATAAAAGTTAAGCAGACACCTATGTCATACCTAATAGCTTCCACCATGATGCCAACTAGTAATTCATCTGGAATCTTTTTTCCTTTCTTTAACAATGTCTCTGCTCCTGCACCAAGCTGAGCACGAAGAGAAAGCTGTGGAATTTATGAGAGATATTTAAAAAGACATTCAAGTTTAGTAAAAACACAATCTTTTCCCACATGTGCGCATTTCTTTATTAAACTTAAATCCCACCCTTCTGCTTAAAACAATAACAATGATTTTTTAAAAATGAAATGTGAACTATGGGATGCAGAATTCTAATTAGAACATAAGAACAAATCATTCAGAAAGACATCACTACCTGGAATTCTTATTTTAATATGGAGAGAAAATAATTGACTTATTTTGAATAGTTTAATGTTGCTACAATGTTGCTGAGTTTAGCTTCTGAAAAATCCCAGTGATAGTTAAAAAAGGTGGAATAGTTGCATAGGTATAAAATATGTTTTCTTCAGTTTGGTCGACAAATCCAATCACACTTACATATATTTATATAATATCCACAGACGTATAAAATTGTCTGTGGCTTATAGCATCAAAACGTTCTTTCCAATTTTTAGTTGATACAACTTTCTAAGTTGGAAATTATTGTTTCTATTCTATTTTCTGGAACAAGAAAAATAAATTGTATATTGATTGATGTCTATTTTGCACCTTCAGCTTTCAGACTTTTGTGAGAAACAACCTTAATAATTAAATATAACAGAAGTTAAAATCCAGTTCATACTTTGGTTAATTCATCCTCATCCTCACTTATCTCCATTTGGTCAACCATCACAGCAGAGCTTGGTTTCTCAATAATTTCTAGGAACAGTAAAATACCAAAAAGCAAAACAATTAGGATTTGGATATTAACATTAATTCTTAGTGCATGGTCTACCACTCTCTGTACCAAACGCATCTTGAAAACTGATTTATCATCAAGTATGGCATTTTTAAAGATACATAATAAAATTTAATACTAAGATGTACAAAAATGTTTATATATGTATAACATGAACTGAAATAAATGGATTACTGATGAATTTCTAAGTTCTGTCTGTTCACTGTTCCTTTCACTGTCTTTGTATCCAGCTTCCAAGAATTGTGGTATAACCAACATTTCTCAGTTTGATTCCTAAATTTCATCATGGTTACAGCTTTCAGATTAGCTATAACTCTTCTCATTCCATCACATTATTATCATGATCAAGTTCACATTATTTAGCATCTGATCTGACAGCCAGTTTGGTATAGAGGTTAAGCCAGGGGTAGGCAACCTTGGCTCTTTTATGACTCGTGGAGTTCAACTCCCAGAATTCCTGAGCCAGCCATGCTGAGGGGAAAGGGAGAGTTTCCAAGCTGAGCCATGCTGGCTCAGGAATTCTGGGAGCTGAAGTCCACGAGCCCTAAAAGAGCCAAGGTTGCCTACCACTGGGTTAAGCCATCAGGCTAGAAACCAGAAAACTGTAAGTTCTAGTCCTGCCTTAGACATGAAAGCTGGCTGGCTGATTTTCAGCCAATCACCAGGAGACTGACAGTTCTAGCCCTGCCTTGGGCGTGAAAGCCAGCTGGGTGACTTTGGGCCAGTCACTCTCATTCAGCCCTACTTAATTCATTTCCATGAATGAACATTTTGTTGATTTGAAAAAGTGGATCCTGCACTTGCAGGAAAAACATTAGAGAGAGAAAAAAATAGCATCTTATCACTGCATGTGAACTAAATGAATAAACCAAAACCATATCAACAACGTCTTTTAATACCCGTGTGCATGTTTATATCAGTAATACAGAAACATAAAAAAGCAGGTGAGCTAAAATAAAATATAGCTTTGCCAAAATTGAAAAACATATAAATAATTTTGAACTTAAAACTTTTTCTTCCAATGCAGAGAGAATGAGAATAAGTAGTTTGGAAGAACCCAACCTTCATACCATGAACATTGGCCATGCTTTATGATACCATCTCCACACACATCATGTGCCAAACAGTGCAAAATTCTGCTCCTGAAAGACTTATAATTTGTAGTTTTGTAAAGGACTTTGATGGTAAGAATCATTGCCCCAGCATTTTGCCAAACTTGTTGAAATTATTTGAGATAAGACTTTGTATTAATGTCTTTTAAAACTTTTAAAATTAAAGTTTTACAAAGTGATATATGTGGCAGCTTTACAGTAACAGAACTGTTGCAAAAACTTACAAATCCATATAAATTTTTCACAAATCCTGTTGTAAGGAGAAGGACCAAATGGACATAATGAATGAAAAAATGAATTAATGCTGCAAATCTGGGATACTTTATCTGGGCTGTATCTGCAACTACTATGTGGTGGCAACAAATTACAATATTTTGGAGCTCTATGCTCCAGGGGTGACCTGAATTTTTGCAGCCCTGATGTGGCAATTTTGGCAAAGTAAGAGTTTTATGTTTTGGCCATCTCATTTTAAGCCTGGTGTGGATGAACATTAAAATCCAACATCAGATTTTTATTTAAGGATTTACCTTTGGGCGCCTCTGAAATTTCTATGTTCTGTTCTGCTGACTCATAAGTTTTCAATACTATCAATGAAGCCTTAGAAGCCTCTTTCAGAACCTTTTCAAATAAGCAAAGAAATCATTAGCCATTTTTTTTGTCTATTTGCAAAACACTGGTAAATTTTGGAAAACAGTTTTGTAAAAATCAGCACTGAACAGCGTATATAATACTTTAAGAACTCAACAAGAATCCAATGAAAGAACATTATTAATACATTTTGATATGGTGTAGTATTGACACAATGGCTGGGTTCCTATTTTGGATTGAGCAAGAGCTGTTAACCCTAGTTTGTTGGGAAAGTACAATTTATTTATCAGTGTATTGGATTAATTCCCTTCCTTTCTGTCAATTTGATAAACAACAATTTATATATCCTAATGACTAGATTCAGACATTCAGGGGTTGTCATGAATCTAGCAGCTGTGGCTGATAAGCCAGGGTTTATTGCTTAAAAAAACCAATGCCTTAGCATGTTGCATGAAGCCATCCCTGTTCCTCCTGCTGGATAATGAAATTTGCATTGTTTTCCAGTTTCAAAGAGAATTCATGACATTGCTTTTTCTCCCAATGAAAACCAACCGTATGCAACCAATTGATCAGATGCCTTCAGTTCTCAATTCAGAAAAGGACAAAGACTCACAAGTTTAGAGGGGGATGTAAAAGATAAGCACAAACAAAATGGCAATGGATAACATATATATATTCTTGTGACCGACATGTTTTTATTAAATTTATAAGGCCACTCGATTCCTTCATGACTCTGGATGGCATATAGCAGGGGTAGGCAACCTTGGCTCTTTTATGACTCGTGGACTTCAACTCCCAGAATTCCTGAGCCAGCATGGCTGGCTCAGGAATTCTGGGAGTTGAAGTCCACGAGTCATAAAAGAGCCAAGATTGCCTACCCCTGGCATATAGTATGCAAACTATTTAAAACATTTAAGCCCTTCTCTGGATAGGGAGGGTCTCTACTTGATCGCTCATGCCTTGGTCATCTCCTGTTTGGACTATTGCAATGTGCTCTACGCAAGGCTACGCTTGAAATGTATCCAGAACCTTCAACTAGTACAAAATGCGGCAAACCTGGGAGCCCAAAGAATGGTGCACGTAACACCTCTGCTGTGTGAGCTGCATTGAGTGCTGCTCTGGTTCCGTGTCCAATTCAAGGTGTTGTTTATGACCTACATAGTATGGGGATTTAATGCTACAGAACTGTCTTCATTGCACTACATCATCCCATCCCACTCCATCAGGCAGGGAAGGTATATTATGGATCCCGCTAGCCAAAGAATTCCAACAAGCAGGGTCCAGGAAAAAAGCTTTCTCTGCTGTTGCCCCCCACCCTGTGAGGCGGGCCTCTATCTTGGCCTTCCACAAAGGACAAAAATATGCTCTATGTCCTTGTTTAGGGTGAACAATCTCTCAGTCAGTCAGGCTCTAAGACTAGATAATGACTTGATGGCACATAATTAATGTCATAAAGACTTCATTTTATTTGTTTGTTTGTATCACATCTTTATTATTTTTACAAATAACTCAAGGCAGGGATCATATTCAACACACTTTCCTCTTCCTATATTCCCTACAACAACAACCCTGTGAGGTAGGTTAGGCTGAGAGAGAGTGACTGGCTCAAGGTCACCCTGCTGGCTTTATGGTTAAGACAGGAGCTGAATTCACAGTCTCCTGCTTTCTAGCTTGGTGCCTTAACCTCTAAGACCAAACTGGGTGATTACCAGCACCTTGAATTGTAAAGGGGCAGCCCCATGTATAGCGTTTTGCAATAGTCTAGCTACACAATGACCAAAGCACGAGTGATTAGCCTAATAATCCAGGTATTGGATCATTAGATGAATTTGTGTGAATTCCTTTCTGGCTACAGTTGCCATCTACCTCCTTGAGCAAGAGCTGGGAGTCCAAGAAGACTTCCAGTTACACCCCAATCCTGAAGTGGGACTTAAGAGTAACATCCCTAAACCTGGATAATTCAAATAACCACAGGTATTCATCTTGTCACTGAACCATTAGAAAAAAGTATTATTTTCAATATATGAATACCAACTAAAACAAAAAAATTGTTTCAGGCAATGGAATTCAAACAGAGTTATTCTTACAAGGCACAATGAAAAATTGAGATTTACTCTATGAAGTTCTCCTGAGCAAACTTTACTGAAAATTATGGCAGCACGTACAAATAAACAGAGACTTTTGCCCTCAATCAACACTTTATGGATATATTTGGAAGAGGAAGGACACAATTTGAATGTTTTATTTTAATATCAATTGTTATAGGACAGCACACAGTCCTTGGAAGCACAATTTCAGTTTACCACTCCGTGCCAGATTTTACTTACATGTAGTTGATTCAAGGAAGAGTCTTCCATTGTGGCTGGAAATAGACTTTCAATTGCCATTTCATTTTCATGGAAGGATTTAATTGCCTCTGCAATCAATGCATCCAGAGATAGGACCTGGATATTAAAAACTGACACAGAGAGAACCAGGTTATAATGGGCTTACATTTTATGCCATCATAAAAAAACAGATCGTAGAGGGAAATGCAATCAGAGGAATGCTTTTCTATGTATCTTTATGAAAATGACAGAAATAATTTTCACTACTGTACTGCTCTTTATAGAACCAAATCCAAATTTTGGAAACCACGAGGATTAATAAAGTACATCATTCATGCCCAGGGAACATATACTTCCTGGCTTTGCCACAAAGAGCCATGAAATAGATAAGAAAAAGGCCCTTTTGTGGATTTGGGAAAACTCCAATCAGTTAGAATCAAAATGCTTATGGCACATGATATAAGAAGCTTAATAAGGAACTTTTCCTTCTAAGATTTAGGGATTTGAAGACACATCCTTAGGCATTTCAAAATTAGTTGCTGGGCAAGATAGTATCTCCTTTCAGAATATTTCATTGATCTATCCAATTGTTTGCTAATGCCATTTTAATTACTCCCAAGTAATTATGGAACTTCATTGGCGTGTCTGTATAAATAAATACTGATATTGTTTGTTTTGCAAGCTTTTATGCTTAATTGACAGTACTGTTTTCTAAACAAGATAGTATCTAAGAAGTCACAAATAGTTATTGGCATAATTTAATATGATTGTAGTCTTGAGGGGAAAGGAGTCATTTAGGTCATCCAACCCCCCTGCCCAGAGTAGGATTTAAATATTCTCAGCACATAATTAACTTCTGGTTGTCTGCAGTACTGATTCCATTGTTTAGCTGTTCTTGCTTTTTTTAATAACATTAAATCAGAATCCATCTTCTTTAGCTTAAATCTAGTGCTCTGTATCCTATAAGCTGGAACTATAAAGAGCAGGTCTTGATTAAGAAGCTCAAACAAAGTAGAACAATTACTTCCTGTGTATTCAATGACATCCAAGATGGGTGTCAAAACACCAAAATGATAGTTAATACATAGCAATGAAGGTTCTGTCCCTTTTCAATATGCATTGCTGATTTTAACCCTCCCTTGCATCATTTATAAATTCTTCTGGTGCAGTCTAAAATGGCATTTTCATAGCAGTATTACATTGCTGATTCTGTTATCAGCTTCTATATATAGACATTTTTAACAAATATTAACAATTCTGTGTGTGTTTGTGTGTACAGGTATACAGTATGTATATACATTACCCACATTCTCTCATATGCACATCTGTAAGATACAGCTGGTTTCTTAACACTGCACCTTTTTCTTTTAAACTTTATTGTTATTCTCAGCCATTTGTCTAATAATATTGTTTGATTTTTTTCTTTTGGAGAATAAGCTCTTTGATAAAGATTCCTTCCACATCTTCATCTAAATTATTAGACAGAAGAATGTATTGTCCAGGATTGAATCTTGTAAACTATTTGAGACTTCCTCCAGCTTGATGGGGAACTCTTGATGAACACTCTTCATATATAATTTTTGAGTTAGGTATGCCCCCACTTAAGTCTTGTGACTCTCAAGTACCAGAATGTCTTTGGGGATTGATGCTTTTTTATTGATTGATTCACTTAATTTATATGCTACTCCTCTCACCAATAAAGTGACTCAGAGTATATCCCTTCCCTGCAGTATATAACTGTTGCAACTGTTCCTTGGTGAGTTAATAACTAGGATGTTGATTGTTATTGAATGTTTGGGTTTGATTTTTTAGAATTCTATTTTGCTTTTGTTGTGCTACTCTGAGCCTTTTCAGAACTGAGTGTGACACAAATCACAGAAACATACAACTGTTTTTCTTGGTGCATAAAAATCGGTATGATCTGCATTAGATTCTTCCTTGATATCTAGGTAAGTTTGATTGGTCTCTAATTCTAGTAAGTATCTACTTTCTGCTCTTTCTGGTACTTTGTCAGTTTTCCAAATATTTCCTAAAGGAACTATATAAAGGTTCAGCCACTCCACCAGTTCCCTAGAATATAGAAACTTAAACTCATCCAAAATCAAGACATATTCCCTGACCATGTTTCTATGAACCTCAAATTACAATCCTACTCCTTTATTTTACTGATCACAAGCACTGTGAGAATGGATTCCTCCTATCACAAAAAGTGTGAGAATGGATTCCTCCTATCTTCAGTTTTGATCTACTCAACAATGGACACGCAGCCCTCCATAAACTGAAGAAACACATTACTCAGAGGGGGGGGAGGAAAGCCCTCTGTCCCACAGACAGTACAAAAGACATCAAGAGGAGAATAAATTCTAGGGAAAATAGAAATCCACCCTACCTTTTTCTAAGAAGTTTAAGCAGGTGGTTTTCCCGCTATAGAGCTTTCCCATAATGCAACCTTTCATAGGAAATGGAGAAAATATAGATGGTGGTGGTTCAGGTTCTGGGGGATGTACTAGTTCCATCAATCTGTGAATCACATGACCCAATATTACATTATCAGGAGGTGGTTTATTTACTCTGATCTCTTCAGGAGGGTACCACTCCTCAATCATAGCCTGTAGTAAGAGAAATCACAAAATAAAATGGAACATTTTGCATCCATCCAGGCTGCTGGAAAAAGGAACCAAATTGAAACACAATCCTATGGGTGTTTACTTAGCAGTAAATTCCATTGAGCTGTATAAGATATTATCTGAACAAAGGAAAAGGCTACAGCAAGTTATTTCATTTAAGATTCACAAGGCTTATAGCCATTAACAAAAATGGACCTTCCCCAACCTGGTACTGTCCAGATATCCAGTTACCCAGACTCCTATTCCCATAATTCCAAATTTTGGGCACGAGGGACTGGTTACATGGAGAGAGGTTTTTCCGTGGACTGGAGGAGGTGTGGTTTTGTATGCTGCCTGCATCTTGCAGATGGGCTTTCCTTGTTTGTGCAGACCGGTTGCTGGTATGCTGTGGCCAAGTACTGGTCCACAGACCGAGGGTTGGGGGCCCCTGGGCTCTGTAGACTGGTAATTTTAGAAATCATGTCCAAACAACCTATTGGGTTTCAGTTATAACAAACTCTCTGGAAGATGAGCCACTGTATTATGTATATTATGTGCAAAAGCTATGACCATGGCTTAATATTTTTCATCACTAACAAGAGAAGTTAATAGGCTTTGTTCATGTAATAAATTTCACCTGCTCATTTAAACCACAATAACTTAAGTTTCACTAGGAATTCTATCTTAACGACATAAATGACTTTCTTCCTCCTGTTATTACTAGCAAACTTGCTTTTGATTTCAGTGGTACTATAGGTGTATTATGATGTAATCAACACTTCCCATACTCATGTTCTCCAGTTGTGTTGACCATTCTTACTGAGAATTAAAGAAGCTGCAGTTCACCACATATAGAAGTTATGAGGTTAAGGAAGGCTGCCATAAATAAGCCACTTGAAAACAAACCACATTGAAGCAGATTGTTCTTACTACTATTAATAATAAAGGTCCATGTGATTTGTTGTTAGTATCAATTGGAGACATGAAGACCTTTTCCTTCTTCTCAATACGACTAGAAAGCTTGATTTTTTTTGTTTTAAACTTTAACTTAATTTACTAGGATTGGCTTATATTGTTAATATGAAAATTTTGTGAATAGGCTTGAAATTGAAGGAAGAACAAAGAATGATGCAATTTCCCTGGATTCTCACTCCTGTTTTGCAGCAGAAAAGGAAATTGATGAAATTTACTTTTTTGCTTTATGAATGGCAGTATCCTATAAGCAGAACTCTGTTCAATGGTTCGGGTACTGGATATACAGGTATGCCCAGGCATTTTCATTCAAAATCTCAAAGCATGAAATATTTGAATTTAGCTGCATTATACATTGAGAATGAATTATCTTTTCCCACGTCTAAACAAAATAAAACACCCATTAATGTTTCAATTTTACTAGCAAAAGTAAATAGTTTTCTCAGCCAAAGACTGTGTTTTGGGAAATGAGATTACAAAAAAAACCTAAGATATATTGCAACCTGCATTGTCAGATTTTCGCTGAGCATGGATGTTGAGAAAAACAATCATTTGCAGACTATATTTACTCTGCCAGCACAATTGAAACTTTTTGACGAAATAGATTTTCTCTTGTTCCAAGATCCCGTGTGCTTTTTTAAAATCTCTGGCCAGGGGACTTGCCAGGCCTAATTTCTGAACATATGTGGGAAGTGAAGAAACAGAAGATGGAAAGACTTGTAAAGACAGCCTTGGTGGAGATATGCAAGCCTCTTTTGCCTAGGCAACAGCACCTGTATACCTCTATCAAATATATCTTCCTTCTTTTCTATAAAACTCCAATGCATGAATACAAATCCAAGCACTAAACAGGGTGTAACCAGATGTAAATGAGCCAAAAGTGGAATTCACACATCCTTGCCAAAGCAGGACAAATAATTAATCTGATGTTGAGCAGTAATCAATAAAGGCTTATACCTTAATAAATTTCTCTTTTGAGATACCTCAAGTCTCTTTGTTGTTTGTACTTTGACAAACCACCTCTGGAATTTTTTTAAAAGGAGGGAGAAGAGCCTATTAACTTCTATTAACCTTAATACAGAATAGTTGAAATTCCTTCTGCTGTTGTTTGGACATGTCAGAGGCAGTTATCTTAAAATGTGGAGAGAAAGAAAGAGTGAAAGCTGGCCTCACCTTAGTGAAGACCTGAAAACAAAAAAGGACACACATAGGGGATTTTAAAAAAAGTCTCTAAGAAAGAGTGCATACAGGTAATTATAGGCATATTACTTATTACTGGTAGCTCTTTTTAAACTACCACAATGGGGACATGCTACTTGACTGTAAAATAAAGCAGTTGCTAAGTGAAACATTAAATTTTACTATAGCTTTCCTTTGTTTTGCAGACCTGCAAAGGTCAAAAATCCAAGGAATGGTTGCCAAGTTATTTTTTCATCACCATTGCGCTTGAACAGTTGCTAAACAAAGACTACAGGCAGTCCTTGACTTATGACCAAAATTGAGCCCAACATTTCTACTGTTAAGCAAGGCAGTAGTTATGAGTTGTGCCCCATTTTATGATCTTTTTGCCACGGCTGTTGAACAAATCATTGCAGTTAAATGAATCATGTGGTCGTTAAGCAAATCTGGCTTCATTCATTGACTTTGCTTGTCAGACTTGGCTAGGAAGGTTACAAATGGTGATCACATGACCTTGGGGACACTACAGATGTCATAAATACATGCCAGTTGCCAAGTGCCCAAATATTGATCATGTGATCATGGGGACTCTGCAACAGTCATAAATGTGACATGTCATAAGTCACTTTTTTCAATACCATTTTGAATGGTCACTAAACAAATGCATATAAATCAAGGACTACCTGTACTTGTAATTCAATTTTATGGCCACCCAGCATTTCTTTGGATGAATAGATGGAGGGAAGGATTGGTGGATAAATAGTGTCAGGCAATCTAAAGTCTAAAGAACTGAATTTGCTGAAGGATACTAAGAACAATCACCACAGAAGTTCCTTTACATTTATTTAAAATAAAACAAGTTTCACAGTAGCTCCTCAGTGAAGATAACAATATGCTAACAGATAAAAAAGACAAAGTTATTCAACTCCTAGTTTGATTTAGTCTTCTCCAAGGAAAAAAAAATGTGTTCAACAAGAAATTGCAAAGAACAGGACCAAAATTTGAGTATAATAAAATCACGCTCAGGAAATATGTTTTTACTTTGAATTAGTTAAATCTCCAAGGCCACTACCAGATATCAATGGTCTGGCAAAAATCTTTCAAAACTTGTAAAATACTAGTGTGGTACCTGATGATTGGAAGACACCAAATGTTTTTTCCTCTCCTCAGCTAAAGGTTGAGGATACTTGACTTGGTATTAGTACTTGTGAAAAAGATTTGGTATAGTAATTACAAACTAAATGATTGCAATTACAAAAAAAGCAGATACAGTTACAGGCAGCATCAACGAAAGTACAATTTCCAAAATCACAGGAAGTAGTAACTACAGATTACTCTGCACTGTTGTTAGCCTATATCAAATATTCTATTGAATACTGGGCGGCACATAATTGTTTACTGCACAGAACAAATTAAATTGAATTGCAATATTAATTATGTTGACTGATGTCACAATACTACAGAATACATATATAGTACCTGATTTTTTTGTTTAGTAACAGAACTAGTTAATTAAAAAAACAAAAATATGTCTGGATTTTTGTTGTACATTGCCAAATAATTATTAAAGGAATAGATTTAAGTTTTGTGAGTCTGCTTAGCTCTAAGTCAATCTCTGATTTAGGAAAAACATAGTTGGCTGTTATATCCAAAATGGACAGATACATTTTTAATTTTCTCACCAATGTAACAGTAGAAACCAGTTGTAACTTTTTCTCACCATAAAGTAATAAATTCAAACCATGTTTGCTAGTTCAAGTGTAAATAGAAATGATGCAGTACTCTAACCATGTTAGGAAGTGGCTCCAGGTGCAGAGTGGAAAAAGAATCATAGACAAAGGGGCACAACTTGTTATTTCTTACAACTCTTAGCTTGCATAATCAGAAACATGAGCTATGGCTGAGCTCAAACAAACAACCCTCAATTTCATAAATTAGAAATAAGTGCATATCCTTATCTGCTGCTCCAAACCATCTCACATTAGCTTTGATGAAAATATTCTGGGTTCTATTAAGCCACAATTTTCTACTTTATTTAGATAATGTAGTGTTTCTCAGCCTTGGCAACTTTAAGATATATGGACTTCAACTCCAAGAATTTCCCAGTCAGCTGGTGAATTCTGGGAGTTGAAGTCCACACATCTTAAAGTTGCCAAGGCTGAGAAATACTGAGATAATGAATGCCAATTAACAAACCAAGAGAAGAAGCCATGAAGAGACAGGAAGAAGGGGAGGATTATTCAGTAACAATGTTTAAGGTTTCATATATTTAAAAACATTCATCAATGTTGTAAAGCTGTTCAAAACAAACTGTAAGCATGTGATACATTTGCAAACTCACTAAGCATCCTCTTGGTTAGGACTGGGAAAACAGACTGGTAAAGAATTGGAACAATGTCTCCTGAATCAAATTAAGCGTTACAGAAGATGCAGCCATACTGTTCTTAGTTCAAGACTGAATACACAACTGAAAAATAGCAAGCAGCATTTTGGGCTATAAATATACACAATAATATGGCAACAATTCCCCATGCCCCCCCCCCAAGAAGTTCTGGATGCTCCAACACTGGAAGTTTTTAAGAAGAGATTGGACAACAATTTGTCTAAAATGATATAGGGATTCCTGCCTGAGCGGGGGGGGGGGGGGAGTTGGACTAGAAGACCTCCAAGGTCCCTTCCAACTCTGTTATTCTCTTAAAATTAGCTTTTTAAAATGAATACCTATCGTATAAACAGCCTATACTTACATGTGCCATTGAGGGGCAGAAAGACAAGATAGGCTATGTACAATTTGCATGTTTTAAGTGTACTGAGTGAATTTCATCAAAGATTATCCCAACATTTTATGAATATATATTTCACCCAGTGTTATATTTAGCTTGGGAGTCAACAGCCTATGTCTATTAGACCTATGATTTCAACTCTTACCAGCCTTAGCAGCATACCAATAGCAAGGAACTCTGGAATTGTACTCCAAATGTCTGGAAGACATCAGATTAGCTACTATGAATTTATAGTAAACATTATTGTAGTTTACAGAACTAGAGATGACCAGAATTTGCATGTAAGTTATTACAAATAATTTCATGCAAGCAGGAAAATAAGCAAGAGGTCTGCTGGATGAAGAAACGGTAGCCCATTAATGTTTGGAACTATATTTACTAAGTTGTTTTCTGTAGGATTTAATGAAGAAAAACTATAGGAGATCTTTCAGGATCACTTCTACAGGTGATGAATCCATAGACTGAATGGAAGTTAAATCAGATACACTTAATTGCCATGAAAATCAATGACTTAAGTTTTACCAAGAAAGTCAATAGAAGCCACCTTAGCTGGAATCCAACCTGTTATTTATTATTAACTAATTATTTATTAACTAATTGCTTTTTAAAAGTAACTGCCAGTACTTTGAAAAGAGATATCCTCAGATATCCTAAAAAACTGAAAACAGCAACCAAAATCGCCAAAACATCTCTAGGTAAAAACCACTTTGAAAACAGAAGATCATCATATTCCAGTCATTGTGGAGTCCTTGGTGCTCTCTGACCCTGGTTGTCTGCTTGCATATATTTCATTATCCAATAAGGTAACATCATCAGTGCTAGTGAGTGTGGGGTTTGCTCCATTTTATACAGTAGCTTGCCTGCAGTGTTGAAGAGGCTATGGCTTTTTTTTGGTAGTTCCTTGATTAGAGTGTTTTTCACTTCATTGTGTGTCTGGTGTTAATCCCTGCTTATCTGGGTGTTGGTTGCTGAACAGAATATGTTCTGGACTTTCTGCTTCCTTCTTAGCTTTTCATTGTCTCTTTTGAATTGTATACAAAGATGTCTATTGGGTTGATTTGTCTGAATGCCGGGCTTCCAGGAATTCTCGAGGATTTTTGGAGCTTGGATTTACCAAATTTATCAACCTGGATTTGATGATTTAGTTGGGTTGCTTGATTTTATTTACCAAGCTAAATCCAAAACCAGGGAATTCATGCTACTGTATATAAATAGAGAGCACCTTCTTTAGCACTGATGATGTTATATAATTGGGTAATGAAACATCTGCAAGCAAACAACCATGCTCAGAAGGCATGAAGAACTTCTATTGATTCCAGGCATTACAGTTCCTTAATGTTCCTTAATGAAATAATATTAAAGAATTATACTGTATATTGTTTTGATATACAGTATCAAATACTGGAATGTATTTAGTAGTACAGGTAGTCCTTGAGCACGACCACAATTGAGCCCCAAATTTCTGTTGCTAAGTGAAAGAATTGTTAAGTGAGTTTTGCCCCATTTTACAACCTTTCTGACCACAGTTCTTAACTGAATCACTGCAGTTGTTAAATTAGTAACGTGACTGTTAAGTGAATCTGGCTTTCCCATTGATTTTGCTTGTCAGGAGGTCGAAAAAAAGTGATCCCATGACCCTGGGCCGCTGCAACCGTCATAAATATGAGTCAGTTGCCAAGCGCTTGAATTTTGATCACATGACCACAGGGATGCTGCAATGGTCACGTGAAACAGCCATAAGTCCCTTTTTTCAGGGCCGTTGTAACTTCAAACTCAATGAACTGTTGTAAGTTAAGGACTATCTGTAACCACTTTTTAGGGCTCAGAAAAGCGTTTGAAAGAGGTGCTTCGAGAACGTGCAAGAGCACCAGCAAAGCATCTCACTCTGAACCACTAAAGCAACTGCAAGGCTCGTGCAAAGCTTGGGCAGTCGTTTTGCAAAAGTATGTGAAGACATCAGGAACAGCTTGCGAAGCAGCCACATGAGCCTTGCAAAAGATACAACTGATTATCAATGCAAAGACTGCTTGGTTTGCTCTTTTACACAGCCGTATCTCTCTTCAGTTTTTGCCATTACTTTGGCACTAGAAGTAAAGAAGCTCTGACTCTTCCAGATTACATTTCCAAGCAAGTAATCTGTGGCATCAAGATTGCAAATTGCATAAAACCACATTTTTATTTTAGTGCTATTTTTATGCTTAAATGAATTATCTACAATTCTACAGAGAAAAGAAATACTGAATATGAAGTTGTCTTACATCAGTGCAGACCGTTAGTTCATCCAGCTGAATAATGTGTCTCCATAGAGATGATGTTGATAATGATTCTATGGGGATTTGAGATAGGACATTTTCTGAGCTCTACTGAAAGTTACCAGAAATTTTATTTGGATCTTCCTGCGCAAAAAAAACATGCTTTTCTCTCCAAACTGTGTCCTTTCCTCAACCACGCTAATAGTAACAGTTACACTGCCAAGTTTGTAGATTACATGGTTTGTAATTTGGGGTATGCTGTTTTTATGTCTTCCTCCCCCAAGTGCACTTTAATAAATTTGCAAATAAACAAGCACAATGCCCTTACATTTGCAACTACATTAATTCCCCCCTTTCTTTTATGGAATCCTATGGATTCCATAAAATGCTAAATAAACAGGAAGAATCTTATAAACCTGAACAAAAATGGAAACTTATAGGCTGAGAATGTTTTTTAAAATGGTTGATACAAGAAATGACTGGTGGCAGCTGACCATGATATGATCATTTCAGCACAAAGTATTTTTTGTCTATTCAGAACATTAATATATTGTTTATAGTACAAAGAAAGAAGCTGTTCCACATTGACTGTCCAGAATATGTACAAGCCTACTTTCTGTTGGAAACCAATACACTTATTGCCTATGATTATTTAATCAGGCACTTATATCACTATCAATAAAAATGGATTATAAGTAGAGCCAACTATCTGGGCTGCAGTTATCTGGACCATTAGAAGCAAAGTCAGGTTTTTCAATAATTCTGTGCAGTCATCTAGTGGCCACCTGGGTTGTTGCAGCCAGATAAGGTAGCTCAACTAAAGAGTTACATTGAGAAAAATAATTCAAACATTTTCAAATAAAGGATGTTTTGAAATTTAGAAGCTATCTGTCCACAGACCTTAGTTTTTCTTTCTGTGTAAATAGGTTACACATAAAGATGTATATGTTACCACAGGTAGTCCTCGACTTACAATAGTTCATTTAGTGTACTGAAAAAAAGTGACTTATGACCGACCATTGCAGCATCCCCATGATCACATGATCAAAATTCAGATCATGATCAAAATTGCAGTGTCCTGGGGTCATGTGATCCCCTTTTGCGACCTTCTGACAAGCAAAGTCAATGGGGAAGCCAGATTTACTTACCAACCCGTGTTACTAACTTAACAATTGCTATGATTCACTTAACAAATGTAAATGGGGCAAAACTCAGTTAAAAAGTGTTTCACTTACCAACATAAATTTGGAGCTCAATTGTGGTCGTAAGTCAAGGATTACCTGTAGTTGATGCAGCTGCTACTTTCACATGGCATGGCTGCATGCTGTCTGTAACATGTTAGCATGAACTCATTTTTTTGCTACATTTTTTTGCTCATTTTTCTAATACAGGCAGCACTAATGTGGTTCCTGCTTAGATGATCGGCATGCTAGTGATAACTTCAGTCTTTGACATCTTGACTAGAAGGAAAAAAGCAACTCTAAAATAATATATGGATCACACTGAAGATAAAAGGCATGATATACCTATTCATTTCAGTGGAGCAATGTAATCCTAATAGATTAATGCAGAAGCATCTTGGGAATTTATCACTGTAACTCTGATGAACAAAATAGGGCATCTTTTTAAAATATATATAATTTGTTGTATGAACAAAGAAATAACCTTCACTTTCAGAAATAAGAAAGAAGCTAAATTGTTTTGTGTTAATTCAAAAAGACCGCACAGACTCTAAAACTTACAACTTGATGAAAATAAAATGTACCATTTGTGTTCAGGATGTGGGTACAAAAAGAACATATAAATGTGGTTTCCCAAACAAGATAAAAAATAAACATACAGGCTATTTATGAAGATAGTGCAGACAAGCTGATAGAAAAAATCCAAACCCAACCCAAATAATATATTTTTTTTTTCTCAGTGCAGTTGAGCTGCAAATAGAGGAATCTGAAAATAAGGCATAAAGAATGGAAATCAAAAAAGGCAAATATTCAGAATTCAATTATTTAATCATGTCTGCTTTGACAATGGAATGGGAGAGAGGGAATTTATATTTAAATATATACTTACCTTTTCAAAGAATCCTAAAAAGAGATAATGATAATTCTGAGAACTGCCTATTATAAAACTAAAGATACTGAAATGAACTGCTCTTAAGATAACAAGAATTGTACTAGAAAATACCAATGAAAGAAGACCACTCATTCAGTGACAGACAGTGTTTATTTCACATTAGGTTTTGTGTATTACTTTGCATTAACATTTTCTAGCACACTGTAACGTACTACAGCTTAATTTCTATTTAAGTAAAGTATCACAGCCTCAGAACTCTTGCATATTATTGTTATTGCTTATGAGGGGCAATTGAAAGGACTGTGGCAAATAATCATCCAGAGTGGCATGAATCAGTGCATTGCCAAATCCTAGAAAAACAGAATATAAAGTACATTTAATTCTGCCAAAATGCTTATTATGCTAATATGAAATCTAGGCATCAATCACAAAACAAATGTGATGTTCATGAACAATGATTTTATGAGCTATATATTCTTCCACTAGGCCATATCAGTTGGGAGTACCTTATATTCATCATAATCTTTCTCATCTAGCAAATTAATTTTGTCCAGTTCTATTAATTGTTCTGGAGTTGGCTCAGCTGGCAAATCGCTGATGTCAGCTTGCTCATAAATTGGCTTTCCTTTTAAGAAAATTTCCTTCCAGTCACGCATTAGCTTTGCAGGAATTAAACTGTGGAAATCAAGAAAAACAAAATTGTATTTAGTATAAAGGGAACATGCTTTTAATCAATGAAAGTGATCAATGGTTACATGAAATATGGAACATAAGAAATAACTCTGAAAAGAGGAAGACACAGTGAATTTTGTCAAAAAAAATCCATTTACACAAAATGGCTCAATTACACATTAGGAAGATCAGTTTTTACCCCAATTAACTTGGGAATTGGCTGTTGAAATATTATTTTATATTCAAACTGTTGAAAACAAACAAATGGGCAGGAAATTGAAGTAATTGCAAATAATCATTGCTAAAACATATGTTATCTTTTATGAATAGTAGCTTGGGAATGACCAGTGCTTTTTTTGTAAAAACAAAAGGTGCCGGAACTCATACATGTCATACAACCCGCCTTGCCTACCCTACAAGGTTCCATCCAAAAAAGGTGCTGGAACTCCGTTCTGGGCGTTCTATGAGAAAAAAAGCCCTGGGAAAGACTACCGGTAGTTGCTTAATGAATTGTAAAGCTTTTTTACAGTGCATAAACAAAATTTTTGTTCTTTTCCTTCCTCTCTTCCTCACCTAAATCTCAATTCAGTTTTGTTTCTCTTTCTCTTTCATACCCACTTTTTATTCTTTCTTGCTACTGCTGAAAAGAATAAAAGGAGTATGTATCTGTGTTTCTGTAAATTGGTCTGTATCTGTGCCTGAAAGTTGCTTGTGGTTAGTAATAGTTAATAGCCGTAGTGATTAGTTAATAGCCTGGTGGCACAGAGGTTAGAATTTAGTATTGCAGGCAAACTGTGCCCACAGCCTGGAGTTTCATCCTGAGGTTGACTCAGCCTTCCATCCTTCCTAGGTTGGTGAAATGAGAACCCAGATTGTTAAGGGCAATATGCTGACATTGTAAACCACCCAGAGAGTGCTGTAAAACACTAAGGAGCAATATATGTCTATGTATAAGCTATTGCTATTATGTATATGATATGGTTGGTAAATGTAAACATGGATATGATTTATAAATGTGATTCCTTCTTTTATAGGCAATTAATGCTAATCAATTATTAACTGTTATTTTTTATTCTGTTCCTGTTTAGCAATAGCAATAGCACTTAGACTTATATACCACTTCATAGTGCTTTACAGCACTTTCTAAGCAGTTTAGTGTCAGCATATTGCCCCCAACAATCTGGGCCTTCATTTTACGGACTTTGGAAGGAGCTGGTTGGGATCGAACTGGTGGCTCTGTGGACAGAGTTAGCCTGCAATACATTCTAATCACTGTGCCACTACAGCTCTGTTTAGGAACATGGCTTGGTAGACATAATATACTTACCTACACATGAACATATATAAAGAAAAACCTTGCATACATTTGGCTGGGAGAAAAAATGTCTAAACTTGATTTCAATTGGAGTTCATAAGTCAGGAATCTGGATATTGCACAAGATATCTGCCTCTAGAGGGACAAGGTGTATCAATCTACTCTACCTGGAGGATCTCTGAAATTCAGGGCATCAATATTCCAGATAAATATACTAAGCAAAATGAAGAGGCAACAGACAGCTAACGATTGTATATGTTCATCCATGCTCTCATTTTTTTTCCTCTGGCCAGGAATATTTCCAGTGGTATTATGTCAAAAAGAAGCAACTGCTAAATTTGGATCAATCCAAATTAAGCTCAATTAGTCAAACAGATCTGGGATTTCATTTTAGAATGAACATGGGTACTATCTGACAAGGTTTTATTTTAATATTTTTCACTTAAGAAAATTATTCTGGACACTATTCTGAATATGTGTATGGGGGGAATTTGATCAGAAATATTTGATCAATAAAATGACAAAAAAACAGATGGGCTTATCTGGAATTATTTTTATTTTACTAAGAGTATACAGTTTGTGATTATTTGAAATAATGCATTAGATTGTTGAGTATATCTCAGCATAACATCTAACAGTAGATGTGTGTGTGTGTGTGTGTGTATACATATATACAATAGTCTTATCACAAAAACAACTATACAACTAAATGTTCTTTGGTATTATTCTTGTCTGGTATTGTTGACTAATGTTATACTGAGCATTAATTGCATAATTTAAGAAATAACTCATTCCCAACTTTTCTAACTGATAGATAGCACAAAAATATTTTGAAAAAATCTGTATGGTAGATATTTTTAAGGCAGTGTGTTTCTCTGTCTTGGCCACTTGAAGATATCCCAGAATTCCCCATCCAGCATGCTTTTTCAAGCAGCCAAAGTTCCACAGTGACCAAGGCTGAGAAGCATTGCTTTAAGTTATGTAACTTATATGGAGCTGCAGGTAAATGTACATACAATACCCATTTTGGTGGGAGGAAATGCTGGGAAATGGCATTAACCACTCTAATGGGTACCATCCAAAGGAAACTCAGGTTAGAGTTCATTCTTTAACTTTCCTATAGCTTATTTAATTAAATGTTTATAACTCAGTTGATAGCAGTCTGTTAGAGTGGATTATAATAACTAATATCAACAGAAACAACCTAAAGAAAACTATGAGGCACAACTGCTTTCCCTCGTCCCAAATTTGGATCAATCACTAGATTTTTACAAGGTGATGAAATAAAAGTAAACTAAGGAGGATTTCACCTTGATGCCAGGACAAAAAGACTCTTTATAATTAGTGGATTCATCTGAATTTGGTTTTTCTTAAATCTCCACATGGTGAGCTCACACTGGGTAGGTTGAAGAGGACATCTCAACAGATCTCAGCAATTGTTCCTATATATTGAGTTCTCAAGCCCAAATTTTACTCAGGCTTCATTGCTGTTTTCTCATCTACACGCCTGAGGATCAAATTGAAGCGAACTAATTGAAGAGCAACAAAGATGATTAGGGGACTGGAGGCTAAAACATATAAGGAACGGTTGCTGGAATTGGGTATGTCTAGTTTAACGAAGAGAAGGATGAGGGGGGACATGATAGCAGTGTTCCAATATCTCAGGGGCTGCCACAAAGAAGAGGGAGTCAAGCTATTCTCCAAGGTGCCTGAAGGCAGGACGAGAAGCAATGGGTGGAAACTGATCAAGGAGAGAAGCAACCTAGAACTAAGGAGAAACTTCCTGACAGTTAGAACAATTAACCAATGGAACAACCTGCCTCTAGAAGTGGTGAATGCTCCAACACTGGAAGTTTTTAAGAAGAGACTGGACAGCCGTTTGTCTGAAATGGTGTAGGGTTCCTGCCTGGGCAGGGGGTTGGACTCGATGACCTCCAAGGTCCTTCCAACTTTATTATTATTATTATTATTATTATTATTATTATTATTATTATTATTATTATTATTATTATTATTATTATTATTATTATTATTATTATTATTATTATTATATTTCTGTAACTTTGCTCACTTTTCCCAACATAGCCAAAAGGCAATGCAAAAACAAAACAAACAAAAAACAAAATTGTATATATAAGGGACTTACTTATTTGTCAGTGTTCTATATTCTCCTATTTTAGTTGCTAAATCAATGATTTGTTCAACTACTTCCCAGCAAATTTCATAATGATTCTTATAGCGAGCCTCAGCTCTTTCAGCAGCAAGTTTTGCATGCAGTTGTTTTTCTCTAAGGGCCTGTTCTGCGAGTTCAATTTTTTCTTGTTTTGCAAGGGCCTAAAAGGAGATGGGAGAAAAATGGTCAATTTCCTCAAATTGATAAGACAAGAAGTGAAATTATCTAAACCTTGCGGTCATTATTAATAGTACACATACATACAATCTTATATAAATGGTCTCGTGAAGGAATGTCACCTTGAGAAGTCAAGGATTTAGAGACCAGCAATACCTTTTCTTAGGATCATGCGAGAGTTGAAAAAGGATTCTGGGATAGAATACCAATGTTTTAGAGAATGCAGACACATACTATGTTTGTGCCTCACCGTCTTTTTGGAATTAAATCCAAACATCCAAACACTGCACACCCTTAGCAAAAAATTCCAGTTCAGAAATGGATTATATCAGCTCCAGATTAAACACTGGTATTAATTTAATATCCACTGAACACCTGCAACATTTGAATAAGTATTGGAGCATCTTCAGAATCTGATGATATGAAGAGTATCAACACGAGTGTTGCAACATAAGCTTTGCTCCTTATACATATGTGTGCAACATCATGGTGCACATCTGCATCTGCCACGGATGTCCACTATAAGCATTTTTGTTCACTTAATAGCTATGATGCAAGTCAGATCCTCAGCCGTAGATCTCTTTAAGAATCCAGTCAGGCATTATTTGTTCTATTTTGTAACAGCAAGGAAAGCAATCAGTGCAGTCCATCAGATTTGCATGAACATAAAGAATTTGGAGAAGAGGGACATACTATCAAATTTGTATCTTGCAAACCAATGTGCCTGCGCAAAGGCAGGTATGAACTATTTTCATCCTCTGAAAGGACTGGAGCAGGCAAGCCTCAAAATGTTCTTTGATTGGACTTTCCTCCATTTTCGTCCACTAATCATCTCCCTTTCATGAAATACATTGTTCAACCAGTATGTTAACCCATTTATTCCACTGTTACTAAAGTTAGAATTCTGCTAACTATATCAGGTGACAGAAGAGCATGATGATCAGTCAACTGTTATTCTGTTAATGCTTTGATTTGACCTCTTCAAATATGCATAAATGTAAGGACTAAATGAGGACACTTCCTTCTGATTCTATAGCTTCCTATGTATATAAGTCTCTCTGGCACACAAGGGAATTGTGGCCTCTAGTGGATGTTCCTATCATTTCAAAGTAAAGTTCTGGTGGCCTCAAAAGGACCATTTATAAGGGGCTACACTTTATTACAACTACATACAGGTAGACCTCAACTTACAACAGTTCATTTAGTGACCGTTCAAAATTACAACAGCACTGAAAAAAGTGACTTATGTCCATTTTTCACACTTATAACCTTTGTACCAACCCCATGATCATGTGATCACAATTCAGATGCTTGGCATACATATGACCCTTGCTGTGTCCCAAAGTCACATAATCACATTTTGCAACCTTTTGACAAGCAAAATCAAGGGGGAAGCCAGATTCACTTAAGAACCGTGTTACTAACTTGGTTCATATTTATGACAGTTGCAGTGTCCTGAGGTCATGCGATCAGCTTTTGCAACCTTCTGACAAAGTCAATGGGGAAGCCAGATTCACTTAACTTATCAACTGCAGCGATTCACTTAACAACTGTGGCAAGAAAGGTCAAAATTCACTTAACAAATGTCTTACTTAACAACAGAAATGTTGGGCTCAATTGTAGTCATAAGTCGAGGACTACCTACAGTATATGTGGAAGTGAATCTTTGGTGAACACTGTCAATCAAATCTTTCATCCTCTTTGAAGGATGAAAAAGTTAACTTTTCCCAGAAGAATGGAAGAATAGCGCAAGCTTCATAAACATTGTCCAGCAATCTTCTCGTACTAGGTATATTTCATTCTTTGGGCTAGCCGCGAGGGCTACTATTGCTGCATTGCAGAAAACTCTTCTAGCTGCCATCAAATCAATGTTGGCATTTTTGCAAGTTCAGTAGTATTAATATAGACAGGCATATTGAAAGTCTGGTGCTGAGATTCAACTCCTGGGAATAAGCTTGACTGAACTTAAAAAGCAATCAGTTTGCTTTTTTTCTTCCTAAACGATGGGGGGGGGGAATATTGGACCAATACTGGACCCCACATTTCTTCAAGACAAAGAAATATAGAAGTAAATGCATGCTAGAGATGTTTAAAAATTAAAAATAAATAAAACTGTAAGGGTTTAGAGCAGTGGCTCTCAACCTTCCTAATGCCGCGACCCTTTAATACAGTTCCTCATGTTGTGGTGACGCCCAACCCTAAGGGCTCTCCAAGCGCGCACCGACGCCACCCACTCACCCGCCACGCCCGGGGCTCAGCGCACCTCACCTGTCTGCGCTTCACTTCCGAAGGTCGCCGGCCTGCCCGGCTCCAGCTGGCCGGGGAGGGGGGGCAGGAAGGCCGCTCTGCCGGCTCCGCCCAGCCTGGTTGGAGAAGCACCCAGGCGGGGAGAGGGAGAGCGAGAGCCAAGAGGGCGACAGCGCCGGCAGAGCTTAGTTCAGCCTCCTCCATGGAAAGGGCCGCGAAGCAGCGCAGCCTCCCTTAGGAGATGCTCGACGGAAACGAATCCGGCGCTGCAATGGCCCCCAGCTCGAAGCCGTGCAGAGACGGATAGAGGAGCGGTGTCTCGGTTCCTAAGACCATCGGAAATAAGTGTTTTCCGATGGTCTTAGGCGACCCCTGTGAAAGGGTCATTCGACCCCCAAAGGGGTCGCGACCCACAGATTGAGAACCACTGGTTTAGAGGAAGACTTCAACTTACAACTGTTTGACGTTATTATGAACCCGAACTTGAAGTTCTGATGGTTGCCTACCCATGGTCATGTGACTGAACTTTGGGCGCTTGGCAACATGGCTGCATTTATGGCCATTTGCTATGTCTCATGGTCACATAATCACATTCTCTGGTGGTTTTGCTAAAACCCAGCACTTAGGGAGGGAAATGCAAAAAAGAAAAATATAGTAACAAAGAAGACAATAATGAATATCTACCTCCTCCCTATCAAGAGCTTCTTGAAATTCTTTGAGGCGTCTTTCCTCAAACTGCTTTTCTCTGTAAATTCTGTTTTGCCACAGGACTTCTTTCTCATGCCTCACATGCATAAGTTGAACAGCTATTCTCCGCTCTTGCTGGGACTGTCTCATAAGTCGGTTGATAAGCTGCTCTTCTCTATAGGCCTCCTAAAATAGTAAAGAAACCAATAAGAGTGACATAATGTACAGCTTTGGCTGGAAACTGGGAGACCATGAGGGTAGCCCCACTTTAGGCACAAAGCCTATTAGGTGACTTTGGGTAGTCACTGAGAGGGGTTTACTTTCAGGTAAATATGAAAAAAAAGTTGCATAGTATCATCAGTTGACCTCTTGTCGGGTTAATTAGCTTCGGTTTATTTCAAGGGCTTGTGGATAAAGAGATTAAAGGTATTGCTAAAAGTACTAGTAAAAATGGATGATTGGCCATCAGCAATTCTTAGTCTCAATAGTCCTGATGCACTCATAAAATCAAAGTATCATCTAGCAAGTTGCTGTAATTTTAATTTTGAAGAATTTGCCCTGTATTTCATTTTTAGTTTTTTACAATTTGAGATTTTGTGCTTTAGTATTATGCTAGTTTTTTTAAAAAAAAATCTACCACTACGTTTAACATTTAAGTCTGATCAGGAAGTCAAAAAATGTTCTTATTATTTTCACTACTAAAGTTACAATTTACTTCATTCTCCAAGCAGGTTTCATAATAGCTTTTACTTTTCATGTCTTTTCAAACGGGTTAATTTACAACAGTATCAATGCCTCATCTAAACATCAGAAGGCAGCGTATCTAACTCACTTCTTGTGCTTCATGAGCTATGAGTTGCTCCCTTAACATCTTTCGCCTTCTCTTCTCCCGTTGTTCTCGAGCAAAGGTATCCTCCTCAAGACGTTTCTGAATTTTCCTAATATATTCATCATCTGAGTAGGTGTTCAGTAGGTCAGTAATGGCTGGTTTTGCTGTAGCTAGTTCTTGTGCCTGCTTTATCGCACTCATCATACTAAGAAAATAATATGGGTCATCTGGTGTTACAGGTTTTACACAAAGAATGAAAGAAACTGTTTCTTATCTGTTGCTTTATATTGCATTATATTATTATTACTATTATATATTTTTCTTTTATATTTTATATTGTAATAGAATATTTACAACACCATCAATGCACATAGAGATAGTCCTCGACTTACATCTGTAACTGAGTCTGGCAATTACAGTCACTAAATTGTGAGTCATAAAACAGGTAACCACATGACCAGGCCCATTTTTACTTTTTTGTGGCAGTTGTTAAGCGAGCCCATTATTCACTATGGGTGATTTTTGTGGGAAACATGAAGTAAAGACCAATTTCTGACAAAAATGTAAATTGTGGTCATTTGACTGCCAAATGCCGCAAACAGCCATCATTTTGGCCATGTGCCCAAAATGCGGTCAAATGATCTTGGAGGGAGGGCAGCCTCAGAACTTAAGAAGCTGGCTGTACATATTTTGTTGGGGGGGCAGGGGTCTTTTGTAACTTTGACCGATCGCCAAGTGATCGGTCATAAGTCAAGGACTACCTAACTACACTTCAAAATATCACAAGAATAGGATGGCTTTGGAATCTTTCCATTTTTTTGCAAATAGCCTGGCTACTTCTTGAACAGGAGATAAACCTATACATTCTTCACTGTCCTGATTTATATCTTTCCCACATCTAGCTCTCACAAAAAAAACCAAAAAAAAAAACCACCCTTGCCTTTAACTCTAAAACCAGTTTCCATGGCAACTATCAAGCAATAAGTCCCAAGCTGGATTAAGACTTGAGGATTTAATTCCTTTAAACCCATAATCTCATTATCCTAATTTTCTTCTCTGATGGAGGATAGGAAACAAAAGAAAAACAGTAAAAGAGAGACAACTTGTGTGTCCCAAGCTTTGAGATCTTTGTGGGCACTGTCCTTCCTTTCATCAATCTTCTCTTTTGTGTGCCAAACTGGGGATAACAAGTTAAATATCACAAGACTGCTCTTCTATTAAGACGGCATATTTTGGTAGAGATCTCACTCTACTTTTGGGATCAACATCTTTGTAAAAATAAAACTGTCAGGCCATATTACGTATAAGTAGAATCATGGGGAGAAGAATGAAGTTACTAACAATGTCTCCAACATCATTTCTTCCCTGTGCACTTCGTACCATTAAGTGCCCCAGAGTGATTTAAGGTTTTCCATAATCTATTGAAGTCAGTTCTCTCCAAAATATTAACTGAAAGGTTTTACCCTATCTTCACCCCCATGAGACAATCAGCATTTCTCCAGTAGCAATTTATGGCTTCTTCTATAGTTGTCCAACTTTTGTTATGCCAAACTAATAAGGACAGGGTTTATATTGCATTAGAGATGGCTGGGTGAGGCCAAGTTATTGGTAGTAAACTAGCTGATTAATGAAGTATATGCTGACATTTCAACTGTGTGGAGAAATATAAAGTATTCCCAGTGAAAAATGAAATTATGCATGATAGCTTATCTATCCAGCATTTATGTCAGTACAGTACTACAAATACAGCATATTTAATCACCTACATGACTGAAACAAAAGCTTATTAATAAAATGTCTGGCTAATGAGAGCGTGTTTCTATTTCCACACAGTCCAGCAGAAAAACAGAGCAAAATTTACTAAAAGTAACATTACCTCTCAGTGAGTTTGGCAGGCATAACAGCCTCTTTCCTCATTTGTTTTTCGAAGTTCCTAATTTCAGTGTATGTGATCTAGAAAAAAAAGTAAGCATTTTTAACTCATTTCCTTCTGTTTAATTCTTTATGGCATCCCATTACAAATTAACAAGATGTTCAAAGCACAAATGCACTGTGCCATGGGGTTTCTGTGTTCAAGGTGGGGTTGTGCCAGTAAGCTTAGTAAAGCGCATCGGAGCTTCATTAAGTTATGTTATACATGAGCTGTATGAGTCTGATGGTATTACAAACTTTTAAGTGATTAGATGAGAACCAAAGAAAAGATTTCTGTAAATGCATTGGTTTAATTTGTATTGTACCAATTAATTACTGTTCGTGTTTAAGCAGACAAGTGAAATAAGCAAATAAAACAATAGCCATATAAACAAATGGAACAATTAACAATAGTTAACTAAAATATGTTTAATTATTAAGAGTTTACAATATCCCCATACCTCTTCTTCCTGAACAGAAAAGATTCAAGACCTTGAGCTCTTTACTACTTTTTTCCCCCCACAGGAGTGTTCAGTTGGGTAGATTACAAAAAGCAAGATGGTGGCTGCAGTTGCATGATTGAAGGCCCACCCATTTTTATGAGCTCACTTTTACATTCCATACACTGACAGTTTTGCTTCCAAGAGCAGCTTTTCTCCCTAACAAATGCAGTGCCAGCAGGGCAAACAGGATCGCAACAATTCCAGATAAGAACTTCCATACATTGTCTCAACGAGATCCCACTAAAACAAGTGAATACAATAAAATGTGGCATGGTCACCCAAATAATATGAGTTTTGCCATATATATGGCACTGTAAAATCAGGGGGCTGTGTCTGTTCTGCTGTCTTAGGAACAGTGCATGTTATCCTCAAAACATTTTTGAAGGAAAGGGAAAGAAGACGGAGGACAGCAGATTTGTACTGGATTTTAACATGGCAGTACGGTAAATTCTAACAATCTTTTTCAGTCTGTGGGTAACTTCTAGATCTAACCGGCATCTCCAAGGGGAAAATTATGGATGTGACATTGCTGGAGCGAACAGGGATACATTTTTGGAAGAGTATGTTTGTTGTTTGGGGTTCAGTGGTATTAAGCAACAAAATGAGTGACTCTACAAGGTTTAAAGTTTATTTTGCCCCCAAATCCATCCAACCCCCACTAAAAGCCTGAAAAAATTCAGCCCTGATGATTCCAAGGACCATAAATGGAGTGGTGGGGGGGGGGGGGCTATGCAGTCTGCTGATTACTTACCCATAAAATATATGAACTATTACTTTTAGCAATCTTTAAAGTGATTCTAAATAAGGATTCCTCAGCTAAATTCTGAAAAAACACCTTTCTCTAGATTTATATTTACTCCTGTCTAACTGAAGGGATATGTATGGGTTATGACTGTTCCTTCCTGCATATTTATTATGAAGAAAAAGGGGTGAATTTCCAATTCTGAATCTTAATGATCTGAATCCCAGTTATATATAGCTACTACAGCATTTTTCCTCATTTGCACCTAACTACCTTACAAAGTCCTTATGATAATGCCGTATCTCATTCCCACCTATACACAATGCATTGTAAAGTGTCCTTATCTGCTCCACTGTTAAAGTATTATTTTCCCATTAAATACTCAACAAACTCTGGCAGTGTTATGTGGGTGTAGTCTAGAGACGTCATTGATCATTTTGTGGGGTTGCAATGAGGTGACTTGCAGAGAGTGAGATTAACTCAACGCCTGTTGTTATTTTAGCAGGCAGGGACACTCTCTTTTCCCTTGAACTTCTGAACGCTGTAATCTGAGGCCAATCTACTTTGGCAGGGGGAAAATCAGGTTCTTTCAGATTAGCTGATCCCCTGTAGCTGCCAGGTCTCTGAACCTAACCCTAGAACCAGATGATCTTGACTCTTCCCTGGTCCCATTTCCTTCTCCCATCAAGGAGAGAGATTGGTGGATAAATTCCTGCTGGCAGATGACATTTAGAGGAGGGGAAGGAAACAAAGCTGGGGAAACTACTCAGCCTTGTCTTTAATGTACCCTGAATATCGTAAATAATGACAGCTCCTGTTCCTAGCATCATGCCTTTGGTATGATAGGGATGTCCCGTGAGCAGAGCAAATGTTATACCAGGATATTTTCCCATTGGCTTAACAACTGGTGGAAGGCCTTTTAATTTGGTTCTCAGGAAAAAATATCTGATTATCTATTTCACTGTTACTAGCACTGTTTTGAAGATTCTTTTCCATGTATATGGTGGTATCTGAAGGCAGGAGGCCATCAAAACAGGAAAAACAGCATTTGTGGCAGCACAATAGAAGTCTTGCCCTTTTGTACATGTGTACAATGTCAGCACATACAGAATTGCCATCTTTCCTGTTTTAACTCCCTCTGCATATGCTATTTCATGCATAAGCTTATCAGACGCCATTATTATTAACAAAGTATAATGCTGCACAATGAAATACTTCTGTTTTAAAATGAACGCGTTTATATTAAGATTCAGGATAATCAAAATATGTAGTACATGCTGTTGCTTATGCATTCTTTAAATAACTATAAAATCTCGTAACTTACGTCTGCTTCCTTTTTCTTCTTCTGCAGTTTTTGGTCTTCAATCGCTTTGTCAGTATGCTGTGGCAATGGTTTTGGAATCTGGATAACTGCTGCTTGAATCTTGGCCATGATTTCATTCTGCCTGCGTTTTTCTACAATTTTCTACATATTCAAAGGGGAAAGATAGTAAATTGTTTTAAATTGGTTACTAAATAAATCTTAATCACATGGAAGTATTTTTAAAAATCCTTTCTCACTCCTGTGGCGATATGTGTCTTCCTCACTTTTGGGTCCCCTCCCAGACGACTTGGAATTTGAGAGTTCTGTGCAGTCTTAATTATTCGTAGCACTGCACTCTTCTGGACAGAGACATTACTCCTGGGATCTGTTGGAGCCACTCTCCCAGCTTAGGAGTCACAGTCCTGAATACTCCTGTCGCCACTGGAACCACTTTGGCCTTTACTTTCGATATTCCTTCTAATTTTTCCTTTAGTCCTGGTATTTCTCTATCTTCTCCTACTTCTTTTTCCTGATGTTGCTGTCACTTGGCACTGCTACATCTATCACCACTATTGTCTTCTGGTCCTTGTCTACCAGTACGATGTCTGGTTAATTGGACAGTACCTGCTGTCTGCTGGATCTGGAAATCCCGCAGAATTTCAGTCCTCCTGTTCTCCAGTATCTTCTGTGGGATCTCCCATCTGGACTTGCCCATATACTATGCCAATGTTCCTGTACATGATGCCAGCTACTTGGTTATGCCATTCAGTTTATGCTGCTCCTCTCTTCATGTAGTGGATTGTTTTTGAGACCTTTCTACATACTTCCTGTCTAGGGGGACTCCTGCTTCTATGGATCTGGTGCTTTGTGCCTGTTCTTGTGCTGCTGTGATCAGTACCACAGTGCTGTTTTTTAGTCTGGCTCTTTGTAATCACTGGTAGGATTTTCTAACGTCTATTACCTCAGCTATCTATCAATGGTACATCTTATTTAGTCTTGTTTTGCCTTGGGACTTCTTCTGCTTGATCTTCCTTCCATATCTGCTGCTGCCTCAGACATTTCTCTAAACAGCTCATCTTTGGGTGTCATCTTACTGATGCACTTCTGGACGTTCTGAGTTTTGTCCAGGAAAGTGGCGTTAACACTCACCAGACTCACTCTTATTTATTTATTTATTTATTATTATTTAAATTTATATACCGCCCTATCTCCCTTACGGGACTCAGGGCGGTGAACAGGCAATAATAAAAATCACAGTAAATATTACATAAAAGCCTACTCTAAAATATAAAACCCCTAACAAAACCCAATCAAAACTACGCCAGGCCGGCCACATGGAACAGATGACTTTTCAGGGCTCGGCGAAAGAGGCGCAGGTCCGCAATTGTACGTAGGTCGGGGGGCAGGTCATTCCAGAGGGCAGGAGCTGCCACAGAGAAGGCTCTCCCCTTGGGGGTCGCCAGCCGGCATTGGCTGGCCGACGGTACCCTAAGGAGGCCCTCTCTGTGGGAGCGGACTGGTCGAAGGGAGATATTCATTCATTCATTCATTCATTCAATATGACTCTCTCACATACTGAATAATTTAAAATATTATCCTTTATCACATTAAAAACTCTGTAAGATTCCACCTGGTTCAGTGCTCTTTCCCCTCTTATTCAACATCAACATGAAGCTGCTGGATAAGATTGTCCATTGCCATGGGGTGTATTGCTGATATCCTACCCCAGTGCCTGGAGCCTAAGGGACCCAGACAGAGAACAACAGGTTTTAGCTGAACCTTGGCAAGATTGAGTGGTTCTGGGTTTTAGAGACTATCCCATCTTTGGTGCTGCACAGGGTTATTCTGCCCCAAATAGGCCCAATACATAACTTGTGGGTTTTCCTAGACATCCAACTCCTGCTCAAAGAGCAGGTGACAGTCACGTCTGGGGTGCTTTTGCACAGCTTCCCATTGTGCCCCTTCCTGGATTGGGAGGATCTGATCACAATCACTCATGTGCATAGCTGTTATATGTGAAGACATCCAGTACCTCCCATAACCAGTGATAATTTAAAGTGTATCTGGGTGTATCTCTTGATGCATAAATCTATGTGCATGCTAACTCAAAATAATCAAGTGTAGATAATACAATTCACTCGCCTTTTAATGGCATAGAATACAATCTTAACCCAAAGGTGCTTTTTCAAAAGGCAACTGGACTCTGTTTTTGCTTGAAAATGTTTTGCTTCTTATCCAAGAAGCTTTTTCAGTTCAGAACTCTTCAAGCAAAAAGAAAGAAAGTCCAATTGCCTTTTGAAAAAGCACCCTTGGGACAACTATGACTGGATGACTGAGAATCTCCACAGACAATACAATCTTAACTACTTTGCTGAAGCCTCTATATACACCATTCTTTCCCATCTTGAGTCCTTCAGATGCATAAAAGCTGCAAGTTCTAGAAGGCCCAATCAGCCAAACAATTTTTTGAAAAATTCTGGGACAGGTTATTTTGCCATGTTTGGAGGGCATGAGAGTGATGGAAGCCAAGCTATAAGGACCAATTTAGTAATACACCTGGCCTTTGCTTAAATACAAAGCAGGAAATAAGGGTATTGTGGAGCTGGGTCAGAGAAAACTCACCCTTTCAACTTCTTCAACCTTTTTTTCCTCCTGGATCTGTTTGGCTTGCTGTTGTTTCACTAATTGCATGCCAACTATCTTACTTTCCAGGATCTTGGCTTTGTTTTGAAAGCTGTCTGAAATCTGTTGGAGTGAGAGGTCTGCCTGGCGTGGTACTAGTGTTTTGAGTCTCTGAAATGAAATGAGACAGATATATAAATGCAAACATATACTGTATATCAGGGGTCCTCAACCTTGGCAACTTTAAGACTTGTGGCAAAAGCTGGCTGAGGAATTCTGGGAGTTGAAGTCCACAAGTCTTAAAGTTGCCAAGGTTGAGGACCCCTGCTTGTATATGACATAGGAAGAAGCATAAGAATCTTGTTTGTCCTGGATTGGTGCATTTAATCCATTCTAGAGTAGCTCATCTGTGCTTCCGTTTCCTAAGAGAACTTTTACTGGAAAAGACCAGGGGTTAAGACATGCATAGGGGAATTCATTTTTTTCATAAGGTCTCATTGCTTGTGATGCACCTCTTCATATTGCTTTTTACTGAAGTAAGGTGGCCCTACAGGCACTACCAGGAGCTGTTTCCTAAGCAGTCAAACCTAGAAAATACGGTGGCTGATTTAATAATTTAAGGGGATCTTCCAAACAGCTTTTTTGTGCTGCAAAGTATCTCGTCTGAAGGATCGTTACAACCATATTAATTATATGGTTCTTCCATATGGTAGCTTCTAGATGTCTTGGAGTATGGTTCACATTATTCTCACCAGTATCATTAGTCATGCAGATGGTGAATTCCGGGAATTATAACCAATACATTATGAAGATACTTGGACTTGCAGTGAATATGTCGATGAGGTAACAGATTGGAAAAGTCTACATTGATCATCAATAATTCTCAAGGATTATTGTAAACTAGAATTCTTTTATCTCTATTTGGAGATGTTGGACAGTATTTGGCATTTTAATTCTCTAGTTTTATTTTTTTCTCTTTCTAATTACAGGAACCTGATAACTTTTATCAATACTCCAGGAACCTTCAATTGGATTATAATAATTTTTTTTAGTAACTGCTTGTTTTAGAGTCCAGGTTAGCTCAAGCAAAGTATATAATACAGCAAAAGAAAAAAAAAGATTTCAACTGTAAACTTGGCCTGAAAGATGCAGTCCTTGACTTATAACCATTTATTTAGTGATCATTCAAAGTTACAATGGGACAGAAAAGAATGACTTATGACAATTTTTCACACTTGTAACTGTTGCAGCATCCCCATGGTCACATGATCAAAATTCGGACACTTGGCAAGTGGCATGTATTTGTAAAGTGTCCCAGGGTCATGTGATCACCTTTTGCAGACTTCTTATAAGCAAAGTCAATGTGAACCCAGATTAACTTAACAACCATGTCACTAAATTAATAACTGTAGTGATTCACTTAACGATTGTGGCAATAAAGGTCATAAAATGAGGCAAAACTCAACAACTGTCTTGCTTAGCAATGGAAATTTTGGACTCAATTTTGGCTGTAAATTGAGGACTAGCTATAAGCTTAACAGATTTTTGCCTTGATAGTGAGAGTACAACATGCTTAGAGGGAATAATAATGTATGTGAAGTGAGGAAACATACGTTCTGAAAAATATATAGTACTGCTCTCTTTACTTAATTTTCTGGGCCTATGGCCTAGCTTCAACTTTACAAGATAAGAAATACAGGCCCTCACACAACAGCTCATTGTTTTAAAACTGAAAGTGTAATGTGCTGTGAAGATATCTATTGGGAGAAGATAAATCAAAGAATTAGACTGTAATTAAAGTACCAGTTTTCTCCAGTGAACCAGTATGACGGGAAACAACTCTGAGAATTTCCCAGAGGTTTAAGCCAATGGTACTATGAATCTCCATATGAATCAACACTGTGGAACTTGTTTAGTTCAGTGGAAAGCCTTGTATGTGCTCCCATTCTTCATATGTGCAATAAAATGGACCCAGAGTATTGTTGCAAATTACTTAATAGAGGTGCCTACCTTCTGCAGTTTGGCAGTAATTAATCCATTTTTTTTAAAGTAATCACTTAAATTTCTGTAAGGAGTTGGGTTTTTTGAATTTGCAACAGCATAGATTTTAAGAATGCAAAAACAACTTACTTTGGGCCTGTCACTCCCTCTCAGCCTAACCCACTTAGTATAGTTGTTGTGATAAAAATAGGAGGCAGGAATACTATATAAGGTCTGTTCGCCACCTTCGCCTTAGGTGCAATTCCAACTGAAGCATCACTTGAACACCATTGGCATTGACATTAGATACTATCAGTCAATTGCAAAAGGCAATTTTACTTGGAACAGCTTACATCCTGCAACAATAACTTTAACACTATCAAACAGCAGTATCTGCCTGTGCCAGGTCCTTGGGAAGGCTCGATAGGTAGATAAAAATACCAAATCCAATCCAAACATCTGGACTGCATGTTGAACTATAATAATATGTGTCAGACACTTTCAGGAGTGGAATACAATATAAGCACTATTAATTAACAATTAAAGCAGTGCACTCTCGACATCTGGATGAGGTGACCTAAAGAGGATTTTGTGTCCTTGTACTGTATTTTCATTTGATCCTCACTCATTCCTAAAAGAAGTAAATAGGAAAGCAATGCTTTACTGACAGAAATTCACCAGTAAGAAAGGTGTCCTAACGTAAACAAACTCACCTCACGATATATTTCGGTTCCTACACCTTTAAGCTTTGCATGAGCTGAAGGTCGCATTGCATCCATGGCAACTCCAGTGAGCCCTGCTTTTTTCTTTTTCTCTAGGGCCACATACAATTGGTACACAAGTTTAATAGCAGCTCCATGCTGCTCTGTCATGATGTTTCGGGCTACATTTTGGTCAAACTGTACACCCAGAAGTTGAAGGGTCGGCTCCATGCGAGAAAAGTTGTTAAGTTTTGCATTGGCAAGCCTGTAGAGACAATATAAAAAAGTCTAAATATGTAGAATATGTATGTTCTCTTGTGAGTTCATATGCAAGCCTAACACCCTTCAGTAAGCCCCATGTGGTAAGGCAACAATGGAACCAAACAAAGTCAGAACTCATAAACATGCTTGGTTTTCAGCTTTAATCCCACTAAAATCTATGGTCTTCAATCTAATCTTAATTGCTTTACAATCAATTGCTATACAAATCATTGGAGTTTGACAAGTTTAAGTGGCAAATCCTAGCCAAACTGACTTAAAAATCTAGGTAGAATTAGAATTAGAACTCACTGTTTGGAGTGGACTGGACTACCAAGAAATATTACGGTTGTAAACTAGAATAAGTTTAGAAGTCAGTACCAAACAATACTGTGCTCCTGCCATGAAAATTACATGATTTTCTCCATGTAGTCATCAGAAATCTAGTGTGACTCAAGATACTTTATTTTTATACAATATAATAATTTATTTGCACACCATGAACTTGGTCAACAAGTCCAAGGTCCATCAAGACTACTGTCCATATCTCCAAGCTAATTCATATAGGAATCTAAAAGCAGAATAGAATCTTGCCACTGCATCTAAAAGTGACATAAGCAGTCATACTGCTTCTGAAATTGGCTACTGTGACTAGTTATCTGGTGACACAAGTGAACATTTTGTTAATCTATCACTTCTTAGTATCATATGAAAACCAGTATTATATGAAAATCTGCAAACTGTGAAATGCAAATCATCATCTTGCTATTGGGCTTGACATCAGAAATTAACATTGTCAAGCACCTCCTGAATTTCATAACTGAATCCAACCACTGCATAATCCTCATGCTGTTCTCCTTACTGGGGCTGCTTGTTCACTTGATGTCTCCAACCAAGCAATGGCAAGAATACAAAGAGTACCAAGCTCTACTCTTTTGGTATTCTCTCTTTATATACTGGTGGAAATATCTTGCAGCATGGGTGGAGAATTTATTGCCTTCCAGATGTTACTACGCTTCAAGCCCTGTTACGCTATCCAAAATTGCCAAAGTACAGTTTATCTGCCCTGCATCACTCTCACCAAAAGTAGTTTGTAAAGTTAGTCTCTGCAATGCAAAGGCAAAGGCCTAGAGACAGTTCACAAAAGTGTTTTCTTTCAAAGAAGAAGCAGTTATATGGAAAAAAAATTGGCCATTTCTAACTTGCTGGTTCCTTGCAGATCACAGCCATCTCTGTGATAATTCTGGGGACATGAGTATAAACAAGATATTCTTTTTGTAATTTTTAACAACCATTGGTCATTCTGGCTATGGATGCAGATTATTGTAGTTCAGAAAAGGAGACCACACAGTCCTTTTCTGTTTCAGTGGGAAACTGACTGAGCAATGGTAAACATGGGAATAAGGGAAAGTTTCTATATAAAAAGTGGGAAAGGGAATTGCAAATTCCCATCCTGTTCTCCAATACAAGGAAGTGTTAACTGAACCTACTGTAATTTAGTTATGATATAGTATACAGTAAATCAGAACATTATTAGAACAGTATTGATACTACTCACCTGCTTTGTGAAAACTGATCAAAATCTTCCTGAAGTTCATACTTGTTTAGAAGTTCTCCGATGAGATAACCAGAGGAAAATTCTCGGGCGAAAGATTCTGCATCTGATTTAATTTCCAAAGGAAAAAGGAAAGTATTTTGTTTATAAGTTGCAGTTATTTGCATTTGATACATAATCATTCATTATAATGATGTACAGTATATCAACCCAATTTATTTTCAATGGATTTCTATGGCTTGATTGATGTTTTTATTTCTGTTCGCTGTCTAGAATTCCCAGGCATATGGGCATCTATATACATTTATTAAATAAATACATAAAATATAGCTCATCAATAAACAATGGTTCGTTTGTCACCATGTTAACATAGAATCAGATTTCTCTGAATCTTCCAATAGATTTATGGAAATAGCTAAGTGAAGAAGTTAATTATGAATTCTCTAATCTGAGATGAATTGCATAATCTACCTCACCAACTTTTGCTGATCAAATTGTGACCAAAGTAGCCAAATTACAAAGTAGTTTTCAGACTTAAAAGATTCTGTTACTGTAGTTACAATAAAGTAGAATTAACTCGTTTGGTCATGTTTCCTGTCTGGTTTACCATGGAAAGCTGACATCACCACATTCTGAAGAATACATATTTTTATTTTATATTATATTATTTTTTGTTATTTGTAGTATCTTAACCTTATTTGAATAATTTATATTTATTTCTCATTGCCATTTTTATTATTAACTTTTATTTGGAAGGAGTTATATATGATGTATCAAAGGTCAGTCCCCATAAAGTAGTTACAACTAATATTAGTTAATATTTTTCCCAAAGAAAATGTTATTTAGGAATCTTCAAATGTCATGTGTCAAATAAGAAAGGAAGTATTTAGAAGAAAATGACAACCAATTCAAATATTAAAATTAATTTGTATCGTATCCATGGACTCTGATTTTGTATAACAACAATTTTTTTAAAAAACTGTTTTTCTTCAGTTGAGGATGCTATGGCACTAAGATTGTGTTTCACATACTATACTGCAGACATGTCAAACACAAGGCCCGGGGGTCGGATGTGGCCCGCAAAGTGGTTTCATGCGGCTCGCGAAGCCATCCTGGAAACAGTGAGGGAATGGACCCCGCTGCCTTAGCTCTGGCCCAGGCTGGCTGGGAGCCAATGTACAATTTTGTGGTGGCCATCTATGCTGAAACACATTCAGTCTTAGCTCCACAAGGCCGTCTAGAAACAGCGAGGAACCAGTCTCTGCCGCGTCAGCCCACACCCCCTGGGTGCATGCTGGGGAGGTGTCACCCTTTGTGAGGAATGAAGAAATGGACCATGCCTTGGCGCTTGCCCCGGTCCCACCCCCTTCTGCCAGAGACCCTCAGATATGTCCCACTCCTGCCCAATCTCCCACAGGCACCCTTGACGCGAACGATATAGAGCTGGCCATGCTCACCCAGTAGGCCACACCCAGTGCATCCACGCCTACCAGTAGGCTGCACCCACCCTGGCCACACCCACCCGGCCCCCCAAGGGCAATCGCAATGCTGATGCGGCCCTCAATGAAATTGAGTTTGACACCCCTGCTATACTGTATTATATGCTATAGTACTAAAACTCTCCTATTTGCTTGTGTATAGCCTTTAATTGGGCAAAATGATGGGCAACAATTTTTGAACCAAAATACCTCAAATGGGCAAACAGAATGAATCCAAAATTGAAATTTGGCAAATTTCATGAAATATTTTATGACATAAAAATTATGATAGAACAGTTTTTGATTTAATACAAAATGTAATAAAACATTTCCTGGGCTGATATTTGACTGTGCTAGATATTTTAACATGGGCTATTTCCAAGGCAGATACATCTCTGAATATATCCCAACTTTTCGAGTGAAGGCAGTACATTAGAAATTCTGTCATTGTTAAAGGCATTGAGGAATCTGGTATGGAAATATCTGTGATCTAACAGGTCATGGGTTGTCCATGGACAGTTTACAAACAATGGATGCAATCCATGGCCCTGGGGGATCAACTTAATTTCTAATCCTAATTTTTCAGCCTGCTTGCAAAATCTGATTTAAGTAATAACAAATACTAAAAATCAGTGGTACAGCTTCTTGCAGGTTTGAACAAAGAAATAAAAGTAAAATTGTGGTATAAGCCTGAAGTGAGCCTAACACCAGTAAACAAAGGACCTTTCCCGAAAGAAAACACAAAATCACTGCCCTGTGAACTAAAGTGAATAGAACATTGGTTCTTCTGCTTCTCCTCAGGAGGATTTCATCTCCAGTGTGGGTGAAACTCTGCTCCGGAGGGAAAGCATTTGTAGCTAAAACATTAGGAACTATGGAATAAACAGATACCTACAAGGACTGACTGTCCTCTGGAGTCCTTATTAATTGAGAGAACGTAACCATAGTGCATCCCTTGAATCTATAAAAGCGTCCTGGGTAACCAAAATCCTTTCCTTGTTTTCTTATGGGAATTTCAAATATGTAACTGGATTGCTCAGAAGGAATACCATCCAAAGGCTTTTCACGTAAGAAGCTCTGTCTCCAAACTCTTGTAGAGATTTGTTTCCTTAAGTCAGAAGTGTAAAAATCATGGCTTCTCAGCAATTCTTCTGTGGTATCCAGATTGTTCCCCATCTCTTAAAGTGGGCATGACCAAAATGGTTACTTTAAGTAGAATTTAGGCCAAATGGGTGACATTAGCAGCATTTTCACCTTTTCTTGAGAGAGTCCTCATCCCACTCACTTTTGATATACAGCCTTCAACATACCACAGAAAGCCCTGAAGCTACAGTAATGGAATATTTACATTCCTGATTCAATAGTGAAACAGAGACTTAAATCAGTGGCTACAAAAGCAAACACACTCAACAGGCATCTGAACAGGCATTCTGGAAATTCAATGTTAAGTAACTCAAGGCTATCTTAAGCATTAAGCATCATTCAAACTATGCAACCCACATCATTAATTCAGGATTACCAAAAGAGGGCATGCCACACAATTTTTAAAGGTTTAGACAATCAACTGTATGAATAATTACAATCAGCATACATTTATATATGAATAAAAATACCTCTAAGGAAAAACAAGCATTATTCTTTTATTGTGCTTAGATGTGTCATAATAGGTGCTACCTGAACAATTTTCCAGTGCAAAATAATTGGAAGAACAGGTTGCCCACTCAGTTTTGCAAGCAAGACTGTACAAAAATGTTTCTAAAAGATAGTCTTGATTAATCTCTTCATAAATGGGTGGTAAGTCAATTACAACTCTAACTGGATTAGAAGTATGGCTCTTATTAACAAACCAGAAGTTAAGTATATTTTTAACTATTTGATGCAGAAAACATTGTGATGCTTGCTTGAGTTAGTATTTCAGAGATAGACACCTATGAAACCTGGAACATCAGTTTGCAACTGCTACTGCTGGTTAACATCAAACATTATGCTATCTCAATGCAGCACCAAAAGAAGCCTGTTCCTGATCTGAAAAGTGCTAAGCAAATGCTAAGCAAGATTCTGATTCCCTTTTTGAAAATTTATCATTCTAAGCTGTTAAAAGTAATTAAAGTTGCTAAGAGTTGGGCAGTGTATAAATGTAATAAATTATTATTAATTAAAGTGGAATTTCTTCTTCCAAAGTTGGTCACATATCAACAGCAGGGCTTTTTATATGCTAATAACTCCACTGGATAGAGGAGGAGGCTTAAATATAGTATAATATAGAGCTGGAAGAAAATCCATCTCCATTTTATACTAAATTGAAAGTCATGTTCTTTACTAAGATGCCTACAAGCCACAACAGACAACTAATTATAAGTTACAGTGTGAGAGGATAGATGTTGCAAATTGCTTCAACCTGTTTTTCAAGCTTTGAACTCCTATAAGGAGCAATCTAATCACATCATACACAAAGAAGTACTGGAAACATTTGAGCTTCTTTTTTTCCCCATTTATGGAAACTGTCCACAAAATCTTCAAAGGCAGGGGTCTGAAGGTTGTTAAGTATAAAGGTTAGATTGTTAGGAGACAGCCAGTCAAAACCTATACCAGGGGTCTTCAAACTTGGCCCTTTTATGACTTGTGGACTTCAACGCCCAGAATTCCTCAGCAGGCACGCTGGCTGAGGAATTCTGGGAGTTGAAGTCCACAAGTCATAAAAGGGCCAAGTTTGAAGACCCCTGAGCTACACAATACAAGTAGTCCTCGACTTACAACTGGTGGTTTAATGTCCATTCAGTGTTACAACAACCTCAGAAAGAGTGCTTTGCAGCCTGTAAAGCACTTCCTAATGTTGTAAACCAGGGATGTCAAACTGCCGGCCCACAGGCCGGACGCGTCATCCCAAAACTGTGCCCACCCCATTGCCGGCAATGGAGAAAAAGCTCCGATACGTCGCGCGACGTCACATGACGTCGCAAGTTTAACATGCCTGTTGTAAACCTTTGCACAAAAACCCTGGTCATGCGATCCTGATCTGGTTGCTTGACAACCTGTCTGTAAGTGCTACCAGTTGCCAAACAATCATGTGATTGTCCTTTGCAATTTCCTCTTGTGGCTTCCCCAGAATGTCAATGGGAAAGCTGGCAGGGAAGGTTGCAAGCTGCTGTCGCCTGCCAAGAGAACTTCCTTTCATCCCTGGCAGCTGACTGAAAAGAGCTGCCTATTGAGGGGAGCAGAAGGGAATTCCTTCGGTGGGGTGCAAAAACAGAGCTCAGATCCTAATGATTTGCTCTGTTTCTGCACCTCACAGAAGGAATTCCCTTCTGTATGCATTGGAGAGATGACATTCTTTGGCAGGAAGCTCTTTCTGCAAATCCCTAAAGATGAGAGGGAGCTAAAATAAAAGAAGAGAGACGCCATGATAAGGTAAGCAGTTCAAGATGCTTTGGGTATCCCTGACAGACCCAGTGCAGGCCACATGCAAGTGTCTCTCACTCAGGGACACTCAGGGACTGCTTGGATTTCAGCAGGGAAGATTTTCATTTCCTGAGTGGAGCCTCCAAGGGTCTCTCCTTATCCTGAGGAATCACACACTCCTTACATGGGACTCTGTCCACTTAATGACTTAATGATCTGTGCAATCACTTAACACAACTGGGAGTGTCGGGATTGTGATCCACTTTACTTAGCAACCAAGATTTTGGGCTCAATTATGGTTGTAAGTTGAGGACTACTTGTAGTCTATTTAGTTCATTGCTATCTCTTCCGGGCCTTAGGTGGAAAAAGAGCAAATTCCTATTTACTGGAATTGCATCTTTGGCTTAACTGTAATGATATATTCAATATAAATTTGAAGCCTTCTTTTATACAATTGTTTTTTCCACTTCAGGAATAATTATAAAAATGACAATTTCTCACTGATTTCTTTACTAGTAGTAGAAACAAAATAAGCAGCCATAAATGTCATCTAAATTTGGAAACCCAGATTTGGATTCTGACGGATATTTATTGTTGTGAATGTTTTGCAAAACAGTGACTGGGAGGACTTGTCATAGATACTTTACGAAGCATCTATTTCAAATAGCATTTCTTGATTGTGTACTCTTACCTGACCCCTTGTACTGTACCACTGCATTTTGGATTCGAATAAGGCAGCTGCATTTTTTTCCTGGGATTATGCAGCTTTTCCTGGGATTATGCAGCTGCCTTTCTTCCCCAGAAAAGGCCATATTTGGTTTAAAGAATCGCAGACAAATGGGTCCCTGTGCACTATAGCAATACACAGCCCTACGCTTATACTTTTTCTGCTTTTTTCAAGACAGGTGGACACATTTCTAAACAAAACACTGGCTACAGATAGCTCTCTTTTTCAAGATCCAGGAAAGTTCAGGAATGGCTCAGTGAGTTAACAACTGACTGGCTGATTTTGGGCCAGTCACCCTCTCTCTCAGCCTAGCCTACCTCACAGGACTGTTGTGGGGAAAATAGGAGGAAGATGGATATTTGGAATGTTTGCTGCTTTGAATTACTTATAAAAATAATAAAAATGGGATATAAATAAATGATTATTCTGGAGGATAGTGTTTTGCTTTGTGGCAAGTCAGCTCCCCATTTTTTAAGTTGAAATATATTTTAAAGAATATAAAAATTCAGGTGCAGTAGATAAATTGCCAAGTAGCCAGGGAGGTATGTCCAGGCACACTGGCCCTCTGGGTGGTACAAATAGGGACCCCAGGCCTCAGATAATTGGTAGAGCATATAGAGATCCAGCAGTCATTAAATCACCATTGTCTTTTTTTAAAAAAAAATTCTGCAAAGAATCCTTTCTGCAAATTCAGAGAGCCTATCAAAATAGTCAACGTGAAGTTTGTAGAAAAAGTTAACCCATGAGCTTATTTTAAATAATTGGAAAATACAGTACAAAGTAACTGTGTGGAAACACGGTCCAATATTTTTATTGTCATAAAGCACTGCCACTAAAAATAGTTGTTTTCAATTCTAAGGTATCTCCAATGTACTGCCATTAAATACGTTTTGCTCTCCGTCATCAAAAGTGAAGACTTCAAAAGTTTCCAGGAGCTTAATGCCAAACTTAAAAATCTATACGGTTGCTAGATGTTGGCATATAATCCATTATTCAATTCCAACACCACCAACGTGCACAGCTTTCTCCTCAAATGTACCTCATATTATTTTCTAATCTATTATTTTTTTTTTAAATCTTCCCTTGCAGCAGATAAAGGGCAGGCAGAAGTGTCAACCCAGACACCCGTTTTCCAAGGCTGTGGCAAAGCAAAATACCAAAAACAGCATGATGGAGATCGCAGTGCCTCTGAGCATATCCAAAATATCATGCACTTTGGTGCTTCTCCCACCCTGAGTGAAGTGGGGCTCGGTTTCCAGAAAAAAGACACGGTCTGCTTTTGAGACAAGCTGGAAAAAAAAAATATGAATCTTCCCTCCTGTTGGAGGAGCCTGCTGGGAACCAGTGGGGTAGGGGCGACGCCCCTCGCCTAGGCCTCAAAGCAAGGGCACCCCGCTTCCTTGGACTCACCCACGGTCCGCGAGAGCTTCACTTCCCGATTCAGCCAATCGCACAGAATGCCAGTCATGGCCGCGAGCGGCCGCAGTTCCGCGCCCTTTCCCCGCTTGGCTCGAGACCTGCTCGAGCCACACTCCGCGTCCCGTCACCACGGCAACCAGCCCTTTCCCGCCAGCAGGGCTAAAAGACGCTGCCCGCCGAGCAGCACCGGGAGAATAATGTGAGTTTGCGCAGACGAACCAAATTGGCTCTGCTGAGCCCGGAGAAGGTAACCAAGGTCCTGCTTGAGAAGCTGGGGGGAACGCAGTTTGTGGGTGAGAGCAGAGAGCATGCGCAGTTTAGAAACTTAATTGGAGCACCCCATCCCATCTTCGGGATTGTTTCGAATCGCTTTTGGGAAAGATGGTGGGGGTTTTAATCCCGGAGCACGAAACACCTTTTAATTTTCGATTAATCCTGCAGTTGTTACGTCCCCCCTTTCTTTCTTCCCTCCCTCGCTTCGTTTGCTTTGAAAAGTTGCGGGGCAGGTGAAAATTGAACCGCTGTATCCTCCGGTATAATACAAAAAGCTGAATCTCTTCGTGTCTGCTACTGATATGTTGCTGATTTTTTTTACAGCATCTCTCACATGTTAACGCTAATTCAAACTCTGAACAATGGGAACAGAAGCGTCACTTTATCCAACACTTTATTTAAAAACACCTGAATATTTCTTTTAGTCCGAAGAAGCAGCTTCCTATGTAAGAATTTCAGTTCCACCCTAATAGATTTCATTTATTTAAACATACATATCAATAACCCCCTGATAAAATAGGCATTGTATAGACAAAACCCTTTCCTGAATTTTTATTATTGTTTGGGGAGATGAGACAATGCAGAGTTTTTGATTTGGCTCTTATTTGTTAGATTTATATACCATCTATCCTCTGGGAGTTCCAGGTTGCCTGCAGATTATGATGATGATGATGATGAAATCCATTCTGTTGTGTCCGACTCTTGGTGATTCTATGGCCCAGGTCTCTCCACATCTTCCCATCTTGCAGTACTTTTGAGTTTTTCTATACTCTAACTCAGTGATGGCGAACCTTTTAGAGACCGAGTGCCATCACTCCACCCCGCCCGTTCCATCCCTGCCCCACCCCACCTGCCAGGCCACCCACCACCTCCACAGCCCGCTGCAGATCAGTCAGGAGGCCCTGCAGTGCCATGGTGGCCACGCCCTCCATCCACGCCCCGCATCATCTGCACGTGACGGGGTGTGAGGGCAGAGTCTTGTCCCTGCTGCCCAACTGCCATGTGCTTGGATGCACTGCTCCGCACCCGGGGGCGACTCTCCTCTGGGGGGGCTGCTAATGAGGAGGGGGCTACGGGGGGAGGCAGGGCTGGGGCAATGGCACGCGTGCCCACAGAGAGGGCTCTGAGTGCCGCCTCTGGCACCCATGCCATAGGTTCGCCACCACTGCTCTAACTAGTGTTAGCTTTGATGGTGACCAGCCACCGTGTTCTTTGTCAGCCTGGTTTCTTTTTACCTCTAACTCTTCCAAATATAATTGCTTTCTCAAGCAATGCCTACATGTAACCTTTAATTTGTCCAGACAATCTTGAAAGAAAGCAATTGGCTAATTAGAATCAGTTAATAAGTTTCTGTGGCCAAAAGCAGTTCAGCCTGAATATTCTTATGTAGTAGTAGTTCAGCTCCTGATCCACACCATTACTTGTTTTACAAATGTTTACTTGTTGGTATTACATGAGCCTCTTCGTAGTTTTGTACAGGAATAGAGTGTGAACTACAGTGAAGGAAGGATCTTCCAGATGATCAGATTTGAAACAGTGAACCTTCAATCTAGAGACCAGAGTTGTTAGTGCTGGATTTTTAAACCCATTTCTGAGTTTTATCTCTGTCTGGTTTTCTAGGTCTCATAATTTTAAATTTTAATGAGATCTATTTTTATACACTGCATTACATTGTGTATAAGATAGGTAAAAAATAGTTTAAACCTGAGTTATTGTGGTTTTTGTTACCTGGATTCTTCATACAGTATCTGGATTTACTTGAAAGTAAAACTTGGGTTTGTTTGTTTTTTTAGGGAATCTCACTGGCAACCCTGATAGAACTTGGATAGAGTCCTACAAAGCCAGAGAAACTCAAACTCTGCAAGCAAGCCACCATTTGTAGGAACATTTTCTCTCTTTGGGGTGAGTTTTGGAAAGAGTTCTGTTTGTCTTTGTTCTCCTGTCTTAATAGATCTTCTTCACCTGGAGATAGTGAAGGTGTGACCAATGTGAAGAAATTGGTTTGGATTGCTAGAAGCAATAATACTGTTTGTTTTGGCTTACAATGCGGTATAAACCCAGCCAGTGACTCTTGCGTCTTTTTAATGTACTTCAATGAACTTCTTTGTGCATTTTCTCCTGTGCTTGCCTGTTATGGATAGGAAAAAAAATTATTTTGAACGACAGCAATCTAGGAAGAGGGTGAGCTGGAGAGGATTTGGAAATCTTGATTGTGAAAATAATGGTGCATTGTCCATGTCTGTATTTCAGTCCCATTCATTTAGAGAACATTCTGCAGAATGAAATTAGTGGGTCTGACCTAACAGACCTAATGGAATGGGGAGATTAATGGGGAGAATCATATCTTCCCTGACTTCTTTGCTTCCATAACAGAAGCAACACACTGGAGAGGCCCTATAAAAATCAGGTCGCTTTAGGAACTGTCATGTCTCATATTCCTCAATAGTAGTCACCAAGCCTGTGAATATACTGGGATCAAGTGAAAACGTTTAGACTGCTTAAGTGCTTAGAATCAAGCATATATAATCCATTTATGAACAGTAATCTAAGCTCAGTCTTAATGTGTTGAGCTGGACTGGGGAAAACCTGTGCTTCTGAAGGACGGTGATACAAGTATTGCTTGACAATATATTTTCTGAATAGGAGTCGATTTACTCTGATTTTGCCTTGATTATGTAAAAAAAAGATGGAAGGTATTAGCATCATATTTATTTAATTAAAATGCCTAAAGTCTGCTCAATACCTCATTGGTACCAATGAGATTTCAGTAGCTCTTGCTCATTTTGCATATTACTGAGAGATGAGTCAAAATGGCCATCAGTTTAACTTCTGTTTAAACCACATGGTGAATATAGGTGGTCCTCAACTTTTGACTACAGTTGGGATCAGAATTTTGGTTACTAAACAAAGTGGCTGTTAAGTGAGTATAACCTGGTTTTATGACCTTTATTGCCATGGTTATTAAGCAAATCACTCCAGTGAAAGAATCATGTTATTGTTAAGTAAATCTGATTTCCCCCATTGAGTTTGTTTGTTGAAAGCTAGTTGGGAAGGTTGCAAATGGTGATCACATAATTCTGGGATGCTGCAACTGTCATAAATACATGCCAGTTCCAAGCACCCAAATTTTGATCATGTGATGATGGTGATAATGCATGGGTTGTAAGTGATAGGACTGGTTGTAAATTACTTTTTTCAATGCTATTGTAAAGTTGATCAGTTGCTAAACCAATGGTTATAAGTCAAGGACTACCTCTATTTCAGCCAGATGCAGGATATACATATTTTAAAATCAAACAGTTAAAGACTGTGGAGTACTGTAGTTCTTTATTTTTGAGGAAATATATCTCTGATAGTTCACAGGTTTGTTACCAGAAGAAAACAGTTCAAACTAAATATGTAAACTACTGTGTTTGATGAAAGGGTGGGATACATTTATAACCATCTGTTTATAATAATAAAAACTGTTCTTACACAAGAGCACTTTATAAAAGCATGACTCAGTATATAAATCTTACTCATATGTAGTTTGCTTCAGGCCATAATGTGTGGGACTGAATCTAAGACCAGTCCTTTTAACAGTTAAATCAATTTTGTATTTATTACTTTGTACACAGTATTGAAATTCAGTTGTAAAATTCAATCTTGCACCCAGGGACTTAGATTCATGTGATGGAGCATTTTCCTCCCTCCCCTGTGCATCCTTAGAAGCTACACTAAGAGCTTGGTGATTTTAGAAACAGATTTTGAGATATTCTGGGGACTCTGACAGGAATCATCAACTACCATCAGCAGAAACATACAATGGGATTTCTTTTTACTTTTGAATTCCCCTTCACAGAAGGTGTACAAAGTTGTATTGCACAAGTGTTGATAAAGGCTGTAATGAAATCCAGGTTGATTGATAAACTCAATTATTTTGCATAATGTTTGACACTGATCCAAATATAATAATATAGGCCTGCAGTTTGACATATGTTCAAGCTGCATCAGGGCTGACCTGACACAATACTATCTTTTACTTGAAGACTAGATTGTGCTATGTAAAAGCTAAACTACATTTTAAGTTAGTAATGTTTCCAAAACAGGCTTTCCAATTGATCGTTTTAATATTTTGAAGTAAAGAAAACAGCTATGGGCACTCATCTGTAATGTGCTCTGAATTCAGACTAAAGATGTAGTTTCAATCGAATTTTCTTTTTTAAAAAGCATCTCTTTCATCTTCAAAATGTTCTGGAAATATATGCATCAGAACAAATGAGGACCTACTGTAATAGTGTTATTATCATTCTGTCATTCAGTTGCTGGTAAACTCACCATGATAGTAGATACTTATCTTTCTAACAATGTCTTTTTCAATTGTCTTCAGTTCTCCAAACCATCAGAGTCTTCCCACAAGACTCTTTAAAGTATTTATCCAAAATATTTCATCTATAGTTTCATCACTAATGCTTGCAGTGAACCATTTAGTTATAATTATTTGTTTTTCTTGCTGTCCAAGCTATTTCTCATAGTTTTCTTCAGCACTGCAAGACATTTTCTTGTTTCAGTAATTCAGATTATTAACCTTTCAAGTCATATCAACAGTGACTTAGCAATATGTTCCTTTATTGTTAATGTGATGTCTTTTCATTTTAATCTGCCATGAACTGTTTTCCCCACAATCTTTTTCAGATGTCTCTTTATTTTATGGCTATAGTCAAAATCCTGTGAAATTTTTGAGCCTAGGAAAATAAGCACTGTTACTGCTTCTTGCCAGTTTGTATTGGGCTATGTTGGGCTATTATGCTCTGTTGACATAATCTTAGTTTTAGTAACATTG